TCTGATCCACTGGTGGTAGGCTTAGGCTCAGGTTTAGAAGATGGATCAGACATGTGACATCAGGCTGAAGGGCCTATCGTGCTGAAGGGCCCTAGTTTAGAACTTCTCCAAAAGCTCTTTCCCTTTTTTGTCCAGCTCTTCGCCACTTCCTGTTTCCAGGAAGTGCCCAGAGTGCACCACGAGGAGGTGGCTGGACTTCGCACTCCGCCACCCTGTAGTCCGAAGACTCTTGGGATCCGAGGTCCACGTCTGGTCCTTGGCGATGGCACCGACTCCCGCAAGAATCGCGCACCTTAGCAAGCTGAGCAAGAATGCTCAGCTTGCTAAGGTGCGCGCAGCGTAAGTAGGAGAATGCTCCGAAGTTACACTTTGTTGATGCTAAAAGGGATTGATCGGATCCCCAGTCGGTTTAAGAACCTCGCGGTCCCTCCAATGGGGTGTCCAAACTTCCACCATCTAGACGACTGTCGAGTAGCGGACAGCTGATGGAAGCCGGAGCCCAAAGGGAGCATAATTGTAATCCGGTTACGAGCAACAGACCATTCTGCCTCCCTCCACGGGTGGCAGTGCGAAATAGTAGCGATTCCATGAACTTCAGCTGTATCCCTCACGGGAGACTGTGGTTCTTTCCACAACATCCTTTCGGTCAACCTTTCGGCTTTTTGTTGCTCGGGGCTATTCGTACAATCGACCCGGGCCAGCCCATGGCTCCGGGCGCCGCCTTCCACGAACGGGTTAGGCACCGAGGAAGCGAGAAGCAAGCTTCTTCAAACTCTCTCTTTAAAATTCGTTTATACCCCTTCAACCCGATTGGACCGATGTGAGAGTGGACACAAAGGCAGGGGAAGGGCGAAAGGACTTGCTATAAGTAAATGCCCTCTGTCAGTGTGCGATTGTGATCGTGCGTGTGGGTGTGTCCGCGTTTGTCGTGCGCGGGTCGTGCGCGTGGTCGGCGCGTGTGTCGGCGCGATGTGATCGTGCGGTGCGTGCGCGTTGTGATCGTGCGCGTTGGTCGTGCGCGGTGATCGTGCGCGTGTGTCGTGCGCGTTGTGTCGTGCGCGTTGTGATCGTGCGCGTTTGTCGTGCGCGTTGTGTCGGCGCGTTGTGTCGGCGCGTGTGCGATTGTGATCGTGCGCGATTGTGATCGTGCACAAAGAACAGCCAAGACGATCTAAGCAGTTTAGTTTTTGGGCTGTTTCTCAGCCATACTTTGACGGATCGGGCTGCTTTTTACGTCAAAAGATGCTCCGTGAAATTCTCCATTGATTGGATCCAGGGTTTGTTTGGGAAAAAGCGAGTTTGAGTAGGTAAAAGTGTGGTCGAAGCTTTTGACAGTGATTTTAGTTCCAGTTCTAGTTTTCATTAAGCAATTGAGTGCTCAAATCTTTAAGGATTTGTCCGAATCATTCAAAAATCACATTTCTATAGTGTTTTACAGGATTCACAGGCTAAAAAGAAGGCAGCTTAAAATTAGCTTTGTGAAATTCTTCGAAATTTCCATAATTCCTGAAATTTTTCCATTCCTTTACCAAAAAAATTAACCAAAAAAGGCATTTTTATCATTTTTATCGTGTTTAAAGGTAGAAATAATAAATGTAAAGCCTCGTTAAGCAAATTCGAAACGAATTTGAAACCAATAACAATTACTTTTGGATGAATTCTGATCAAGAGTTCTAAAGCGAAAATCTCGAATTGACAGTTCGTGTCCTTCAAACTTCAAATCCTTCAAACTTGCACTCTCATCGCTTTCCTCTCACCCAAAATAGTCAATGATTTACAGCATTTGCACATTCTTGCTCATGCGTCCACATTTCTTTTCTTTGCAAATCAAGGTTTAGTTAACGTGCCTTTTTTGTGGGGAACACGTTTCTCGAAATATGCCTTAGCTCATTGAAGAATTGAGATTTTTCAAGATTTTGGGATATTGGCAATTGAAAATTTGAAGCTTGTGCTTGAATTTGACTATTTTCTCACCAAATCTTTCAATCACTGAAAAGACCGGGTGCGTACCTTCCATGTGGAAAAAAGCGGCGTCTGGCACACAGCGCTGGATAGGAGCGGCCGGAAGGCTCTCGCCACCGGTTTAATTACCCAAGTTTGGTGCGCCAGAAGTTGCCAGAAAGCGCGGGCTTACGTGGAAGCACAAAGAACGACAGTCTTCAGAGCTCGCAAGTCGTTTCCAAAAATCATTGAAATCGTTTCCAATCATTGAAAAGACTATTGTGCATACTTTTGCCGTCGCTCGCAGATAAAAGCGGCGTCTGGCACATTGCCCCGGATTGGTAGGTCTCCAATCGCCCTCAGCCGGTTTAATTACCCAAGTTTGGTGCGCCAGTTTGGCACGCGTTTCCGTAAAAGCACAAAGAACGAAAGAAAGAAAAAAGTAATAAAAACGATCTTTCTTGAGATAAGCAGCGTGATCTTCTTGTCATTTTCGTATTACTAAATTCTCCAGAATTGGGTGAATTGTTATGATTTTTTTGAAGATAAAACTTAAGTATTTCTCCTGGAACAGTGCACTTATTTTCACAACTATTGCTATCTTTAAATATTACATGATCTTAGGTCCAAGATGACGGATCAAAAACTCGTGTTGGGGGCGTGTCTTCTCTATGACTTCAAAATGAAGAAATCAGCATCGCAGTCGCACCGGAATCTTTGTGAAGCATTCGGAGAAAACATTTTGAGTGAAAGAACTTGCCAGGAATGGTTCCGACGTGAAGGAGATGACAGCTTGGAAGATGGATATTGTCCAGTTGCCTTCGATAATGCGGAGTTGCTGGAGGTTGTCGAGTTGGATCCAACTCAAACTTTGCCCGAATTAGCCGAAGCACAATTTCTCGACACCTTGCGCTTATTGGAAAAAAGAATCGTTGTGGCCAATGGGTCCCAAATGAATTATCCCCTGAAAACAAAGCCAATCGAGTTTTATTGTCTCGGATTCTATTGAAAAAGGCTACGGACGGTGCTTTTTTTTGAAAGCATGTTGATGATGGACGAAAAGTGAACAGATTTCAATAATACAACACGCAAAAGACAATAGTTGAGCAAAGGAGAAAGGTCGATTTCGACATCACATCCAGAACTTCACGGAAAGAAAGTTATGCTGTCGGTCTTTTGGAATATGAAAGGAATCGTTTATTTTGAATTACGAAAATCTTCAAAAACTATAACTTCTCAAATCTACGCCGAACAGCTGAAGAAAGTTGATGAAATTCTACGAGAAAGAGGTGTTAATCCAAGGACAATCCATTTACTCGCTCACAATGCCACACATCAAACTTGGCTCAAAACACCATAGAAGAATTAGGCTGGAAACTTGTGCCTCATCTGCCCTATTCGCCTGATATCGCTCCCTCAGATTACCACTTGTTCCTGTCTATGCAACACTCTCTTGCAAATCTAAAGTTTAACAGTTTTCGGTTATTTGTTGGCGCAAGCAAGTTGGGTAAAGTGAAAACGATACAGCTATTAATACATCATTTTTAGGCCTTTGTGCAAACGGTACAATCAATTAGCAAACTGGGAATGTTTTTGACTCTTGAATCTCTCTGAATTTGGGCTTTTTCTTTGCTGTTTCAATTGTCCGCAATAAAACGAGTGCAAAAATCAAAAGAATCCGAAAAAAGCTGGAAATGCGCAAATTTACACTGGTGTGTTTCTATGTGAGCAATGAAAAGGAGATGGGATAGAAATCCACTTTTGATCGAGATCTTTTTTGCCTCGGGAGAAAAGGCGAGATTTGCAACGAAAAATAGGTAGAATCTATTAGATCGGCTTTCAAAATGATTGAAAGATCTCGATCAAAAGTGGATTTCCATCCCATCTCCTTTTCATTGCTCACATATTTTTTAAAAAATGATATATCAAAATTTTTATCTTTTTTTTTTTAAACACACATTTATTTATTAATTTTATTTCTTTAAAAAATATCAAAACACAAAACTTAATTTAATAAACGTAAATTTTATAATTTAAACTTTTTTATTTTTTTAAAATTAATTTTTTATTTTATTTTATTTAATATTTTTATTTTATAAATTTATTAAATAAATTTTTTTTTTTTTTTTAAAATTTTTTATTTTTTTTTTTTTTAATAAAATTTTTTAATATTTTTTTTTAATTATTGTTCTTGGAGCGCGGGATACTACATGGTGACAGCCTATCACCATTGCTGACAGCCTATCACCTATTAGGTTGATGCATAAGTCTTTTCGTTCCTTTTCGTCTGCCGTTTCAAGCCAACAAATGCACCAATTAAACTACGGTTGATTTCATTAGAAAAACCAATTATTTTTCTGCAAAATAACATTAAAACGGGTTTAAAAATATTTAATGCCTGGATTTTCTTGAGAGTATGAAGTCGGGTAGTCAAAAAGGGCTAACTCGATGATGCGGCTTAGACACCTTAGCTAAAGAAAACCTATCTTCGTGTCAATAGATAAAAGATAGAGAAAAAAAACGTTTGATATTTCGCCAAAATTTCAGAGAAATTCATTCAGCCAATTTTTCCGTAGAGTTTTTTATAGATTTTTACGAAAAAGGCGTTTTTCACTCTCGAATTTGCTTGAAAGTGAACCGAAATTCATTTAAAAAGATGCAAATTGAACAAAAAAACACTTTTTTTATAGAGCAAACTATAGATTAATTCGTGAATTTGTTACTTTTTAACAGAAGTACGAAAAAAACCAAAAGACTTATGCATCAACCTATTAGAATAAACATCTGATCTGATTTATAACTTTATTTATAACTCTAAACTCGGATAAGCTCTTAAAAATAGCTTTTCAAGTCATAAACAATCATTTATTTTTCTTTCCCCTTCAATAAACAGCTTATCTATAAACCTGATAAAGAGAGTCACTATAAAAATTTGTTTTGTTTTGATAAAAGTCATCTTCATTTCGAAAATGAATGCGTTTCTTCTGCTTTTCTTTGCTTTTACTTCTCTCTATGCCTATGAGAATAACTGTCATGGTAGTTGGTTTTGTTATAAAGGAATGCATAAAATCTGTCGACCAGCATTTCAACGTTATACTGATGAGCACACATACCAGGTTTGGTCTTAAAAACTATCTTTTTTTTACGTGAGAATTACTTTGCTTTCACCGTAGAGTAACTTTTCCTGGAAAAACGAATTCTAAACTGGCTATTTAGGCTCTTTAAGATCTTTAGGATCTTTAAGATCTTTAGGTTCTTTAGGATCTTTAGGATCTTTAGGACCTTTAGGATCTTTAGACTCTTTAAGATCTTTAGACTTTTTAGGATCTTTAGGTTCTTTAGGCTCTTTAGGATCTTTAGGATCTTTAGGCTCGTTAAGATCTTTAGAATCTTTAGACTCTTTGGGATCTTTAGGATCTTTAGGCTCTTTAGAATCTTTAGACTCTTTGGGATCTTTAGGATCTTTAGGCTCTTTAGAATCTTTAGGATCTTTAGGATCTTTAGGATCTTTAGGATCTTTAGGCTTTAGACGCGCAATCTTTTCTCCATGCCGACAGGAATGTTAATTGTTAACAATACTCTTCTCCGAAGCCTTTTTTTACCTGACATTTTGCCTTAAAATTTCATTTTTAATTTGCTTTTTAATTTTAGTTTTAGATGCTGAGCTTTTATTTAACTAGGTAAGGTTAGGGAAAATTGATAAAAAGGAAAAACCTGCGGACTTCCAACGAATTGGTTGCATCTGGAAGACGCGCAAACTTTCTGTTTTCTTTTAACTATAGAAAATTTTTGTGTACAAAATATGACAAAATTAGCATGAGATCCTTTGCTTTTCTTGAGTTGATTATGAGCATACCAAAAACTGGTTGAAATGAGCAGGTTAATAACCATGTCAGGTAAAGCGAGTAATTGTCCTCCTAGAAATCGTTTCGGGGAGGGCAAAACACGGGTTTTTCCAAATTTTTCCCCTCACCGAAATGTAAAAGTTTTCAAGTTCAAGTTTTCAAGCGAGTATGAAAGTTTACTAGTTCTGGAATATCTTTTCGGTTCTTACAAGTTCTCTCAGTCGACCCCATATGTCAATTTCTTGACACCGTCGGAGCTCTGGCTGAGCGCAACTTGAACCTGAGCCATCACCATGACCGTCACCATGAGAAAGTCAATGCTTGTGATATCCCGAATGTAATCCGTCAGAATTGTGAATTATTTATGATTATACCAGAAGAGTTTGACTCCGAACAGCCAATTAGTAAAGAATTTTTACGCTGAAAAAGTTTTTATAAGTGATTGAAGTCTTTATCATCGATTTTTTTGGCCTCAGTAGATCTAACTGCATGAAACTTCAGATACAATCATAACAGTATTCTACACAATTGAAACGGATTACATTTTGAAGATCACAAGCCATCTCCAAGAATTTGACTGTTGATTTGATTGACTGTTGATGGTCGTTCCGTCAGTGTCAAGAAATTCGATCTCTTTTCTACTTTCAATATTGACTGTAAGCCTTAAAATTCAGGCGTACACGTCTCGCACGTTTGATCATTGCACCGCCATCTTTCGATGTACTGGGGACTATCCAGCAATGACCGGAAAACAATTGAAAGATCTCTTTGAACAAATCTATACTGGGCAAGGGTGTGAAGGATGTGGAAGCCATGGATTCTATTCGGGTAAATGCGAGGTCACCCTTAACTATTGCTCGCATTGCGTCGATAGCGGCGATCCGGGAATTGTGTTAATCGACGAAAAACTCGTGGAATAAATGATTTCAATACTTTGTTCAACACAAATCAATAAAGTGGGAAATAGATACAACCAGTGAAATCACTAAAACAATAAAGTCAATCGGACATGTCAACAATGCCTACTTCAACAATGCTACTTCAACAATGCTACTTCAACAACAATGCTACTTCAACAACAACAACAAAACAACAATAGAGTCAATCGGACATGCAACAATGCCTACTTATTAACATGATGTACCCATAAGTTTTCCAATTAAAAAAAGTCTTTTCCGACCTTTTCATTTTTCATGTTTGCTTTTAAAGCATGCTATTCTCCAGCTTGCTGTGGCTCAGCTTGACCAATTGATTCGGTACAATTTTTAGGCCTAAACAATGTGACCACAGTACCTAACTTACATTAAATGTGCTCATACAGGGTGCGGCAAAAGTTCCGACACTTTTTGTAAACGGGCAGTTTGACCTGGAAAAAACGCGATTTTTGAAAAACTAACACCGGATTAAAAAAATTCAGATATCTTTACCCCCTAATATACTTTTTTACACAAAAATTTCCATCTAAACAACCTTTTGATGAGGATGTTTAAAGGTCGTTACAGCAGTTTTTTTTTTGCTGTTGAGATTTGGGTGCCCTGCGTAGAATCGCTTCAAAAACCTTCCGTTTTTGAGATATAAAGTTTTTTTGTGGCTTGTTTTCAAGAAAAAACTCAGTTCTATCAAATGGTAACAGCAGTTTTTGGAAAAAATTTCATTCTGCAAAGTTTAAGTCAACTTTCGCAAAAATCTTCAGCGACCAGACCGGGATATAAAAAATTCTCGTCAAAAAGTTATTGAGAGTTGAAATCTTTTTATGAAAATGGCTATATTGGGGTGAAACTACCTAAATTTTTAGAATCCGGCGTTAGTTTTTTTGAAATTCACGGGTTTTTGAAGCGAAAAAAATTACTGCTTACAGAAAAAGTGTCAAAACTTTTGCCGCACCCCGTACAGTAGGGGTCATAACTTTGGACACACCCCGCGCGTCAAACTATAATTTGCTCGTTCTTTTTGCTAATAATAGATTTTTCTACCGAAATCGACTATTTTATACAGTTTTTATCCCTGTTCATTCTTTCTGCATGAATTTGGATTTTGCAAAAAAGGTATAAAAACTGTATAAAATAGTCGATTTCGGTAGAAAAATCTATTATTAGCCAAAAGAAGGAATTATAGTTTGACGCGCGGGGTCTGTCCAAAGTTATGACCCCTACTGCAAGTTTGACAATGAAAGTCTTTATCCGAAGATAATGATTGAATGGAAGTAATTCGGGCCTCAAAAATTTTGAGAGGGCGCTTTTTTGAGTTAGGTCTCATTTCCGAACTCGATGCCGAGTTGAAAAAGTTCCCTGGTTAGTAAGCTCGTTAGTACGGGCTTAGTACTTCCCAATTATTATTAGGTTGTCCGGAATGAAAATACCCTTTTAATGAAAAACAAATCTATCTCCACAAAAAGAAAAAAAGGCGCTGTAATCCAAAAGATATTCTCCGTTGCTGGCAATAGTCTTTCTCCATTTTTCTTTCAAATCTCGGATCCCTTTGCTGAAGAAATCCTGAAGCTGCGAGTCAAAGTATTGGCTTACCCAAATTCGGACTTCGTCGTGTTCCTTGAAGTGTTTATCGGTCAGGAAGTGCTGCATAGATCGAAATAAGCTGTAGTCTGAGGGTGCCAGATCTGGACTATACGGCGGCTGCGGGAGACATTCCCAATTCAATTCCTCGAGTTTTTCTTGCGTCATCTTTGCTGTGTGTGAGCGCGCGTAATCTTGCAGATATCTCACAGTCGATGCGTTTACACCTTGATTCTTGAGAGCCTGGTCTAAAAGTTCCAGCTGTTGCACATATACATCTGAGGTAACTATTGGACGTGAATGTAGAACCTCAAAATGTATCAGACCACGGGAATTCCACCAAACAGATAACATGGCCTTTCTTCCATCCGGATCACCTTGTGGCGTCGTTTTTGACTGTTCTCCTGGACTTAACCACTTCTGTTTTCGCGATGGGTTATCGTAGTAAATCCATTTTTCATCGGCCGTCACAATAGTGTCCCAAAAACCTCGATTTTTTGATTGATGAAGAAGAATACCGGCCATAGTCGCTCGAGTAGCTTTATTAGCGTCACTAAGTTGATGGGATACCCATTCTCCGACGAGATTCGCTTTGCCCGAACGGTGTAAATGGTCCGCAATTGTTGTGTGGCCTACAGAAAAACATTTTTGGAAGTTCCTGAGTCGACAAGGTTTGGTCATCTTCTATGGCTTCTCGAAGATCGTCATCGTGGAGGGAGTGACCACGTCCTCGATCCTGTAGAGTTTCGTCACCCTCTCTAAATCGTTGAAACCATTTTTTACAAGCTTCCTCAAAATAAGCAGCTTCTCCAAAAAATTTCAAGATTGAACTATGGCTCTCCCGGACACTTTTTCCTTGCTTAAAGTCGCAGAGCAAGCACACCCGAATTCGGTACTTCTGATCTTCCATTCGAAAAAAGTCAAAATTATAAGGCAGTAAATTTTTATAAAAACATAGAGTTAGAAAAGATATATAACTTTAAAACAAAACAAAAATCAGACGCGAAGCTGTTCGCTACACCGAAAAAATTGCAATCGAAGTTGAGGGTATTTTCATTCGGGACACCCTAATACTTACTAACCGAGGTTTGTATTTGTATTCTTTAGTTTCGACTTTTTTTATTTGATTCTTTTCTTTCTAAAGATCGTATTGGAAAGAGGAATTCCCATTGGTTGATTGCTTGATTGAATGCCTTTATCAAAAGTCTCGAAATTTGTAGAGATCGAGAAAATAGCTCAAAACGCTTTTAGTCCCAGAGCCAAAAACTAAGCACTGTTTGACTTATAACAATTTGTTCTGAAAATTGAAAAAAGCATTGGCTTACATACATATCATTGGCTTACAAACAAGAACTTCTTACATACTTTTCGCAACCTTCCAGTGTTAAGCTAGGGTTACGGGTTAAGCTAGGGTTAAGCTAGGGTTAAGCTAGGGTTAAGCCAGGATCGTTAAGCTAATTATCGATCCTGGATGATGAAATGGAAAGATGGGAATGAAAACCTTGAAATTATTCATTTTGACATATCACTAATAGTTCATTGCTTCTTTTCTCGTTGTTTAGTTACGATGTTTACTTACGATCTTTAGTTATTACTCTATTGATGAGTTTCAGCCTCGGCTGTCCGCATTTCCCGTCTTCTTATCGCTTAAAAATTGGTGGCAAATCCGCGTCTCCACTTTCCGCTTTTTTCGTTAATGCTTTCAAGTCTGATCGCCAAGTTTTTTGCGTCACATCCAACTGGGTTTTTCAAGATCGGCATCAATTCTTTGCACAAAAGATGGCAAGAAACTTGAATATTTTAAGATTCCCACAGAATGTAAGATATAAACGGAAAATATTGTTGTATTGATAGGAAATTGTTGGATATATTGTTGGATAATATTCTATTTATCGGGGGACATTCAAGCGCTTTGAGATCTCGCTCACCTGAACACGCGGCCACTTGAGCTCAAGGATCGATTGTCGATGTGAATATTTTAAGATTCCCACAGAATGTAAGATATAAATATTGTTGTGTTGATAGGAAATTGTTGAATAATATTCTATTTATCCATTGCCAAAAGCCAAATACAAACTTTATCAATCAATCAATCAAATCTGTGTGATTTAAAAAATCTAAAATCTTCATGATAGATCGCTTGAAGTAATCGCATCGTTTTGGGATTCTTTTTCACTTGTTTTAGCAGATTCTTTTTATGTGTTTCGTTTTTTACAGCATGTATCGTCGAGGATCGGTAGAGGTGACGAAGAGTCTGAAAAGTTTTCGCCTATTTGTTGGCGCAAGCAAGTTGGGTAAAGGGAAAACTATTCAGCTATTAATATATCATTTTTTACGCCTTCCAGGCTCGACTAGAGCCTTGAGAAGACTTGTTCAAGAGCCTATTTTCTAACTAAAGCTAATACCTTTCTCGCAACATGTGACGGAATCCGGGCCTTTGAGAAAACGAGTAGCATTTCCCTTTCCATTCGCCGCCGATTTCGAGAATGGTGCACGAACAGGACTTTATTGCTTTTGATGTTGCAAAAGCTGAAAAGTTTAAGCTTAGGCTTAGGCTTAGGCTTGGTTTAGGATCCAAGGCTGGCCCAAGAATCAAGTCTAACGGCTGGACTTATCTTCTCAGAGGTTCCGATAAGCAAATCAAAGTTAAATGTGAGAATTTGATCCGAGCTGCTTAGATCATTTTCATTTATTTACGAAAACTTCTTACTTCGTTTGGGGCCACGAATGCCAGACAATATCGTCAAGATTCTTCGATCGAGGTCTCCGACCGACCAAGTCTATTTTGTGCAAATGGTACAACCAATTGGCAAATTGGTGAATGTTTTTGACTCTTTTTGCGCATATTTTGGCACTGAAATGGAAAGCAATAAAGATTTTCTTTGAGAGATTTACTTTTATATACAGTCATGCACAAAAGTCTTGTAACATCCAGTTTAGCAAATTTCAAAGTGTAATAACTTTTTTGCAAAGAGACGAATTCCCTAAGTCAAGGCGAAGTCAATCTTTTTCGCCCGAATGGCAACCACTTGATCAGAAGACCAATAGAAAAGCGGTACAGCATCAGATATGTGCGACCAACCAGAAATTTGGCCAAGGATCAATCATGCTTTGGGGCAAGGGCTACTTTCATGGTGCACACTCTCAACTCTGCTTTCAGGTGCAATGTCGAGAAATTCACCAGGTCCGCTAGTGCTACTAAACTCAACGCTCAACGCTGAAGGCTGCAAATCAGTTCTCCAGAATCATCTTCTGCCATTTTCAATTGCAAAAATGGGCCCTGGATGGCTGGTTTATCAGGATAATGCGCCTTGCGACAAGAGTCAATTGCTAATGGGCCGGGTCGTCACCCTCGCAAATGGTGGAAAAGCTCGTCTTCCAGGATGGTTCAAAGCAAATCGTGTTCAACTTATCTCAGCTCCTCCACACACCTCAGATTTGAGCGTCATTGAGCATATTTGGGCTTTTTTGAAGTCCAAGCTGAAGGGAAAGCGATTCAACTCGAAGATAGAGCTTTGGTTCTTCATTCGCCGTACCTGGTCATCCCTGGGAGCCCAAATTCTACGCGATTTAGTTGATTCAATTCTAAAGCGGATCCAGGAAGTCATCAAAGCTAAAGGTGGACCAACGAAGTATTAAAAATTTGATAATTTCTATGTTTTTTTTCAAATGTTACAAGACTTTTGAGCGTCAAAAATACGTCCGTTTTTTTGTTTTCATTTGTTTTTCTTAATTTTTGTTAATTGTTTCAATAAAGTTTTTCTTGCACATAAAAATTGGAATTTTTGACAACTGAAAAACAAAAACCGTTAGGGAATTCGCCTCTTTGCAAAAAAGTTATTACACTTTGAAATTTGCTAAAATGGATGTTACAAGACTTTTGTGCATGACTGTAGATATAGATGATTTTAGATTTAGATATTTGCGTATTGTAGCTATCGAAGTACTGTAGGTACCGGCTTAATGTAGCCACTAAGCTTACTATTTGCACAAAAACTCGTATGTGGAAATGAAGCGCTCGAGGGGATCGCGGACCACGGTGAAAGTGAGCGTGTCTCGAGGACGCATCCATTTTGGCCATCCCAGCGGATAGTTGAGATTTGCATCACAGGAGCTCAAAGCTTTGGATAAAAAGAAATTCAAAAATTCGAAACCTGTCCGCGGTAACGTTTTCCGTTTTCGGTTTATACGGAATACTTTTGTACTCTTTGAGGACATCACAGAGAATCTCGCGAGTGATGACACTGCCGGCCTTTGGAATCAAGCAATACGCAACTCCGACTCCTCTGTCCACCTAGCATTTGGCTAGAGTTTAATGCAAATGTTACGTTGGATCTAGCCAGATTCTTGATCGGACGTCCGATCTAGAATTGAGTCGATTTGAGTTTCTACATTTGACTGAAAGAATTAGAAACCTGCGGGCTTTGGACGGATCTTGCTCTCAGCCATGGGACTGAAATGTAAATGAAAATTGAGCAAATCAAAACGAAATCAAATTAAACACACCTTTCTTCACTTGACTTTTAAACTTGTGCGGGAATTGGGGCCTTTTCTTTGCTGTTTCAATTGTCGGCAATAAAACGAGTGCACAAATCAAAAGAATCGGGCGCATTTTGCCCCAAAAAAAAACTGAAAATGCGCAAATGTACACTGGTGTGTTTCTATGTGAGCAATGAAAAGGAGATGAGATAGAAATCCACTTTTTAGAGATCTTTTTGCCTCGGGGGAAAAGGAGAGATTTGCAACGAAAAATAGGTAGAATCTGTTAGATGGGTTTTGAAAATGAATAAAAAGTACTCTAAGTATTGAAAGTACAAAATAAAGTACTTTAAGTATGCAGTAAGCGGAATTACAGCATGTAAATATGCAATATTATAGCTTCAAATAAAGTCTGACATCAATTTATGCAAATATTGAGGATCTTAGACGCAAAATAATAGGAATTTTCATAGAAATCTCCGCCTTTAAAGCTTTGTCTGATCTGAAAGCCAACTGACTAAATTTCTCATAAAATACTGAAACTTTTTTTCATTTTAGTCGCTAATTTCCTCCGCGCCCACCATCTGCGCGAAAATGTGTTTTCTATAGGATTTTTAAGTTTGAAGGGCCAATTGACACAGAAAAATGTGCTGAATCCGAAAATGATCCAAGCAGATCGGATCAAATTCTAACATTTAACTTGGATTTGCCTATCGGAACCACTGAGATAGGTAAGTCTAGCCGGTAGACTTGATTCTTGGGCCAGCCTTGGATCCTAAACCAAAGCCTAAGCCTAAGCCTGAGTCTAAGCCTAAGTCTAAGCATAAACCTTAGCCTAAGTCCAAGCCTAAGCTTGAGCCTAAGCCTGAGCCTGAGCCTAAACCTAAGCCTAAGTCTAAGCCTATGCCTAAACCAAGCCTAAGCCTAAGCTTAAACTTTTCAGCTTTTGCAACATCAAAAGCAATAAAGTCCTGCTCGTGCACCATTCTCGAAATCGGCGGCGAATGGAAAGGGAAATGCTACTCGTTTTCTCAAAGGCCCGGATTCCGTCACATGTTGCGAGAAAGGTATTAGCTTTAGTTAGAAAATAGGCTTTTGAACAAGTCTTCTCAAGGCTCTAGTCGAGCCTGGAAGGCCTAAAAAATGAAATATTAATAGCTGAATAGTTTTCCCTTTACCCAACTTGCTTGCGCCAACAAATAAGCTAAAACTTTTCGGACTCTACGTCACCTCTACCGATCCTAGACGATACATGCTGTAAAAAATGAAACACACAAAAAGAATGTGCTAAAACAAGTGAAAAAGAATCCCAAAACGATGGGATTACTTCAAGCTATCTATCATGAAGATTTTAAATTCTTCAAATCACACAGATTTGATTGATTGATTGATAAAGTTTGTATTTGGCTTTTGGCAATGGATAAATAGAATATTATCCAACAATATATTTTTGTTATAAAGGAATGCATAAAATCTGTCGACCAGCATTTCAACGTTATACCGATGAGCACACATACCAGGTTTGGTCTTAAAAACTATCTTTTTCTACGTGAGAATTACGTAGGTTTCACCGTAGGCTAACTTTTTCTGGAAAAACGAATTCTAAACTGGCTCTTTAGGATCTTTAGGCTTTAGACACGCAATCTTTTCTTGATGCCAACAAGAATGCTAATTGTTAACTCCGAAGTCCACTCCGAAGCCTCTGTTCACCTGAAATTTTGCCTTTAATTTAATTTTAGATAGATTTAGATGCTGAGCTTTTAGCTAACTAGGTAAGTTTAGGGAAAATTGATAAAAAGGAAAAACCCGCGGCCTTCCAACGAATTGGTTGCATCTGGAAGACGCGCAAACTTTCTGTTTTCTGTTAACCCTAGAAAATGTTTGTGCACAAAATATAACAAAATTAGCATGAGATACTTTGCTTTTCTAGAGTTGATTACTTGAGTATACCAAAAACTGGTTGAAATGAGCTGGATAATAACCATGTCAGGTAAAGCGAGTAATTGTCCTCCTAGAAATCGTTTCGGGGAGGGCAAAACACGGGTTTTTCCAAATTTTTCCCCTCACCGAAATGTAAAAGTTTTCAAGTTCAAGTTTTCAAGTTGCGAGTATGAAAGTTTACTTGTTCTGGAATATCTTTTATGTTCTTACAAATTCTCTCAGTCGACCCCATATATAAATTCCTTGACACCGTCGGAGCCACCATCACCATGACCGTCACCATGAGAAAGTCAATGCTTGTGATATTAGGTACTTGCAAAAGAAACTGCGGATTATAACCAACATTTGAACAACCCAAAAATCAATAAGAAAACAACTTTTTTCCAAAAGATATTTGCCATTATTATCAACTATGTTCTTACATTTTTTGCGTAGACTTCGGATGTCTGATTCGAAAAATTCAGGATCCCGCGACGCAAAGTAGGCTTGCACCCAAATTTCGACTTCTTCAAGATTGTTAAACTTTAGATTTGCAAGAGAGTGTTGCATAGGCAGGAACAAGTGGTAATCTGAGGGAGCAACATCAGGCGAATAGGGCGGATGAGGCACAAGCTTCCAGCCTAGTTTCCAGCCACATTTAAAGTATTCGGCTAATTCGGGCAAAGTTTGAGTTGGATCCAACTCGACAATCTCCAGCAACTCCGCATTATCGAAGACAACTGAACAATATCCATGAGACTCGTCTTCCGTCTTCTGTCATCCCCATTAATCTTTATGAAGATTAAATTAAAAGAACTGAGAAGGTTTTTTTGATAATTACGATAACTACGAGGATAAATCTGGTAACTAGGTAGGGTTAGGGAAAATTGATAAAAAGGAAAAAAACCTGTGGACTTCCAACAGCTATTGTTGGCCTCAGCCCTCAGCCTTCAGCCAGCGTATTGAAAAAAGAAATGCGAATTATAAAACAAAATTGAGTCGAAAACCTTTTTTAACTTTTGAAAGATTTTCCTTTTTCTTTACTGGTTGAATTCTCGGTATTAAAATGAGCACAATAAATCAAAGGAATTGGTTGCATCTGGAAAAACTGGAAGACGCGCAAACTTCAGCTTAATCCAACTACAGTGCGGTGCAAAACCATACGCCACCCCCTAAATTTCAATTTTCTGCGGCTCCCGTGCCAGTGACAAAAAAAACTGAAAACACAGTTAGATTCAGGACCAAAAATAACCCTTAAACCCCAAAAATCGTCGACATAGCATGAATAGGGAAAATGTAACAGCCAGAAAACGAAAATTCACCCGGTGCAAAACCATACGCCACCCCCAAATTTTGGTGTCGTTGTTGCATTTTTGTTCAATTTTTATGATAACAAGGTTTATTTATAACAATAACGGTTTAATATTTTGTTGTCTGTCCCTGAAGACTGATCACGTTAAATATTCGACTCAGCATGCTGTTAACTAGCTTCTTGATGGTGCTTCTTGGAATGGCATTCCACTCGCGGGTAATGGCATCTTTGAGCGCTTGAACATTTGCGTACTGTGTGGAATTGCCATAAACTCGACGAGCAAGCATTCCCCACAGATTCTCAATGGGGTTGAGATCGGGGGAGCACGCAGGCCAATCCAGAAGAGGCACTTCTTTTGACTGAAGCCATGACTTGGTTGCCTGGTTGACGTGAATGCTGGCGTTGTCTTTCTGTAGGGTGAGTTGGTGTTGTGGAAGACTTTGCAAATATGGAAGAAGGTTGACCTCGAGCACATCGATGTAATCTTGTGAGTTCATTTTGGGACTTTTTTTTCTTTTGAAATCGATGATTTAAAACTTGTTCACTTTAGAGATTATAAAAGCGCTTAAGCCAACTATAACTGGTAAATGAAAATTGAAATGAGCTCTTGACATGAATCTTTTATGCCCATAGAAAAAGATGAGCTTGGAAAATAGTCGAAGCAAACAAGCAAAGCATAAAATCTCATTCAAAACACTCACAAGCAAATGGCTGAGGATCAAAAAGAGGAGAGCATCAAAAAGAAGATCAAAAAGAAGATCAAAAAGAAGATCAAAAAGAAATCGAGAGGATCAAAAAGAGTTCAGAGATGCTCAAGATGAAAGACTATGAGCTGAATATGAGAATTTGGGTTTTTTGACTTGATCTAATTGAAAACTTTAATTGAAACTGCCGACAAAGTTGAACTGAAACTTGAAAATTTTAAGATTCCCACAGAATGTAAGATATAAACGGAAAATATTGTTGTGTTGATAGGAAATTGTTGGATATATTGTTGGATAATATTCTATTTATCCATTGCCAGTTTTGTAACTGTGCCCAGAGTTTCATAAAGTTGAATGGTTCGAGAAACGAGGCTTCGGGGGACATTCAGGCGCTTTGAGATCTCGCTCACCCGAACACGCTGCCACTTGAGCTCAAGGATCGATTGTCAATGTGAATATTTTAAGATTCCGACAGAATGTCACATATAAACAAAAAATATTGTTGTGTTGATAGGAAATTGTTGAATAAATATTCTATTTATCCATTGCCAAAAGCCAAATACAAACTTTATCAATCAATCAATCAAATCTGTGCGATTTAAAGAATTGAAAATCTTCATGATAGATCGCTTGAAGTAATCCCATCGTTTTGGGATTCTTTTTCACTTGTTTTAGCATATTCTTTTTATGTGTTTCGTTTTTTACAGCATGTATCGTCGAGGATCGGTAGAGGTGACGAAGAGTCTGAAAAGTTTTCGCCTATTTGTTGGCGCAAGCAAGTTGGGTAAAGGGAAAACCATTCAGCTATTAATATTTCATTTTTTACGCCTTCCAGGCTCGACTAGAGCCTTGAGAAGACTTGTTCAAGAGCCTATTTTCTAACTAAAGCTAATACCTTTCTCGCAACATGTGACGGAATCCGGGCCTTCAAGAAAACGAGTAGCATTTCCCTTTCCATTCGCCGCCGATTTCGAGAATGGTGCACGAGCAAGATTTTATTGCTTTTGATGTTGCAAAAGCTGAAAAGTATAAGCTTAGGCTTTGGTTTAGGCTTAGGCTTAGGCTCCAGCTCACGCTTAGGCCCAGGCTTAGGCTTAGGTTTAGGCTTAGACTTAGGCTTAGGCTTAGGCTTAGGCCTTGGTTTAGGATTCAAGGCTGACCCAAGAATCGAGTCTACCGGCTAGACTTATCTATCTCAGAGGTTCCAATGAGCAAATCAAATTTAAATGTGAGAATTTGATCCGATCTGCTTCGATCATTTTCATTTATTTACGAAAACTTCTTACTTCGTTTGGGGCCACGAATGCCAGACAATATCGTCAAGATTCTTCGATCGAGGTCTCCGACCGGTCAAGTCCATTTTGTGCAAATGGTACACCCAATTGGCAAATTGGTGAATGTTTTTTACTCCTTTTGCGCATATTTTGGCACTGAAATAGAAAGCAATAACCATTTCCATTTAGAGATTTGCTTTTATATAGATATAGATGATTTCAGATTTAGATATTTGCGTATTGTTGCTATCGAAGTACGATAGACGACTGAAGTACTGTAGGTACCGGCTTATTGTAGCCACTAAGCTTACTATTTGCACAAAAACTCGTATGTGGAAATGAAGCGCTCGAGGGGATCGCGGACGACGGTGAAAGTGAGCGTGTCTCGAGGACGCACCCATTTTGGCCATCCCTGCGGATAGTTGCGATTTGCATCACAGGTGCTGAAAGCTTTGGATAAAAGGAAATTCTAAAATTCGAAACCTGTCCGCGGTAACGTTTTCCGTTTTCGGTTTATACGGAATACTTTTGTACTCTTTGAGGACATCACAGAGAATCTCGCGAGTGATGACACTGCCGGCCTTTGGAATCAAGCAATACGCAACTCCGACTCCTCTGTCCACCTAGCATTTGGCTAGAGTTTAATGCAAATGTTACGGTCAATCTAGGAATCCGTCTGGTCTAGCCTGATTTTTGATCGGACGTCCGATCTAGAATCAAGCCGATCACTCTAAACTAGGCGTCCGATCCAGACTTAGATTTGAAGTGATTGGCTTGATTCTAGATCGGAGGTTTGATCTCACTTGACTCTAGATCGGATGTCCTATCCAGAATCAGTCTAAATCGGACGTAACCCATATATTCATAAATAATGAGATTTTATTGTTGTTGCTTAACATTTGACTTCTAAGAGTTTTATTTTGTGTGTCTACATTTAACTGAAAGAATTTGAATAGACTAAAAACCTGCGGACTTCGGACGGATCTTGCTCTCAGCCATGGTACTGAAATGTAAATTAAAATCGAGCAAATCAAATCGAAATCAAATTAAACACACCTTTCTTCACTTGACTTTTAAACTTGTGCGGGAATTTGGGCTTTTTCTTTGCTGTTTCAATTGTCGGCAATAAAACGAGTGCAAGAATCAAAAGAATCGAGCGCATTTTCTCCGAAAAAAGCTGAAAATGCGCAAATGTACGCTGGTGTGTTTTTGTGTGAACAACGAAATGGAAATGGAAATGGAAATGGAAATGGAGATCCACTTTTGATTGAGATGTTTAGTGCCCTGGGGAAAAAGGAGAGATTTGCAGCGAAAAAAGAAAAAGAAACAATCTGGTAGGAACAAATATTGAACAGAAGAAGCAAGCAAAAAGAAATGAATATCTAGGAAAAAAAACAAGAAATCACAGGCAATTGGCTGAAATAGTAAGAGTTTTCGAAGTGTTTGTTCCTTTTTATTACATAGAATCTGTTAGATGGGTTTTGAAAATGAATAAAAAATACTCTAAGTATTGAAAGTACAAAATAAAGTACTGTAAGTATGGAGTAAGCGGAATTAGAGCATGTAAATACGCAATATTATAGCTTCGAATAAAGTCTGAGACCAATTTATGTAAATATTGAGGATTTTAGACGCAAAAAAATAGGAATTTTCATAGAAATCTGCGCCTTTAAAGCTTTTGTCTGATCTGAAAGCCAACTGAATAAATTTCTCATAAAACACTGAAACTTTTTTTTCATTTTAGTCGTTCATTTCATCTGCGCCCACCAATTTGGAAGTAGGTTTTGATCTGCGCAATCGTTTGATCGTTTGATCGTTTCATAGGAACACCTAATAGCGAAGATAGATCAAAAAAAAATCACAGAACCGCACTACTAAGGTTGACGGTGCTCACACTATTATACAAGGACTCTCCCCTCCTCAGTCCGCTGGGAAGAGTCGTCTTCAAGGTAAGCCAAGGTACGAAAGTGGGATTCAAGGGAAAGAGTTTGGTTTGCACTGATTTCGTCGCTCTCTTCACCGATTGGATTCATCGATGGAAGAGTAAAAGTGAGTGAATTTTGAGGCTAAAATATAACAATCAAATTTCCATCAAATTGGCTTCAATCAAATGAAGAGCCGGTGTAAAACACGTTGCTTGTGATTGCTTTTTTTTTTGCTAGATATTCATTACTTTTTGTTTGCATGCATTCTTTTCGATATTTGTTTCTATTAGATTGTTTCTCCTTTTCCCTCCGAGGCGCAAAAGATCTAAAAAAAAGTGGATTTTCATTGCCATTTCCATTTCATTATTCGCATCAAAAAAGGCTGTAGATTTGTGGATTTCCAGGTTTTTTTGGACAAAATGCGCCCGATTTTGTTGATTCTTGCACTCGTTTTATTGCCGACAATTGAAACAGCAAAGAAAAGGCCCAAATTCCCGCACAAGTTTAAAAGCCAAGCTAAGAAAGGTGCTCAATTTGATTTTTCTCTGTTTAAATTTTTATTTTAGTGCCATGGCTAAGAGCGAGAGCCGTCAGAAGCCCGCAGATTTTTCCTTTTTATCAATTTTCTCTAATTCTATCTAGTTAATTAAAATCTAGCAAAATGCTAGGTGGACAGAGGCTTCGGAGTGGAGTATTGCTTGATCCCAAAGGCCGGAAGTGTCGTCACTCGCGCGATTCTTTGTGATGTCCTCAAAGAGTACAAGAATGTCACGTACACACCTAAACTCGGGGCAATGTGACCTCGGCTGGGTTTGTTTTCATTCTATCATATTCTTTCATCTACATTTCTTTCAGCACCTGTGATGCAAATCACGACTATCCGAATGGATGGCCGAAATGGGTACGGTCTCGGAAAAATATCATTTTCGCGGTCGTCCGCGATCCGCTTGAGCGCTTTGTTTCCACATACGAGTTCTTGTGCAAATTGTGAGTTGCTTTTGTCAATAGTCAGTAACCAGGGCTGATTAATGATTAGCCAGGGCTGATTAATGATTAGCCAGGGCTGATTAATGACTAACCAGGGCTGATTAATCATTAACCAGGGCTGATGGCTGGCCAAAAGACAAGAAACGGAACAGTGCTTGGCTACTTGACCAGACCAGGTCCATTGTCACTGAAAATTCGATGCTAGTTTTAGTCCTGTTGATGAGAATCGTTTTCAATTTTCAAGTTTAGCGCCAAAATGTGTGCAACAAAAGTCAAAAACATTCATCAGTTTGCCAGTTGGGTGCATCGTTTGCAAACGCTCGACTTTGCCGGTCGGAGACCTCGATCGAGAAATCTGGACGAGATTGTGTGGCATTCGTGGCCACAAACGAAGTAATCTTTGTCATAGCTTCAAAAGAACATTGTTTGATTCAAATATCAATATTGCTTTCAGTTATTGTCACTTAAAAACGAATAAAGCCCTTCTCGTTGTGCACCATTCGCGAAATCGACGGAGAATGGAAAGGGAATTGCTACGCGTTTTCTTGAAGGCTCGCATTCCGTCACTAGTTGCTAGAAAGGTAAAAGCTATTCATTTAGAGTTAACAGTGATCTCTCTGATAGATCTCTGATCCTCCTGATAGATCTCTGATCCTCCTGATAGATCTCTGATCCCTCTGATAGATCTCTGATCCCTCTGATAGATCTCTGATCTCTCTGATCCCTCTGATCTCTGATCCCTCTGATTATTGATAGATTTCCTGCTCTGATTCACTCATTCGCATTATTTTCCAGACTCTTCGTCACCTCTATCGATCCTCGACCTCACATGCCGTAACAAATGAAGCACACAAAAAAGATCTGCTAAGAAAAGTGAAAGAAAACCCCAAAACAATGGCATATCTTGAAGCGATTTATCATGAAGATTTTAAATTTTTCAAATCACAGAGATTTGATTGATTTTTGCTATATAAATTGATTAAATTGAATGTTGAACAATTCTGGGTTGAAAAAACGATCAAATGAGCTAGTTTTCATCAGAAAATTCCAATTTTTACTAGTGCTTTTCTCTCGAAACAAAGAAACAAGCTCATGGCATATCTTTTTGGCATATCTTTTTTAAACTGTTTTCAGAGAGTTCGTTTCTTTATAAAGGTCAAAAATGTGCAACGGAAAAATCGAATGCTTTAAAATTGTTAAAGAGATTCACCCTAATCCTCTTTTTCGGAACTTTCTTCCGTTAAATCCAAGGCAATCGGCTTCCAGAGGGAGCTTGCTTTTGAGACGTAATCCTATTTCGTTTAAAAGTGATGAAAGTTTTTTCACAAAGAGTTAATAGAGTTAGCAGAGTTAGTTAGTAGAGAAAAGAAACTAGTTAAAAGAGTTAAATCCCTCTGAAGTAAGGGATATCAGCCGCGTTGTGGTGCAATGGTTAACACAGTTGGGCAGTAAGCGAAAGGTCGCGGGTTCGAGTCCTGGCGACGCAAATGTTTTTGATCTGCCCTAGTTTCAACTGGCGGTCACGGAAGGATGGGCTCTAATGCTGGCTAGGATCTTCATACCTAGTTTCAAGCGGCGTATAAATCGTGTGGAACTGTCTCGTCCAGAGAGGAGAGAAGTTAAACTCCTTCTGTAGTCACAGAGATCAAGTGCATTGTGGTTTAATGGTTAGCACAGTTGGGCGGTAAGCGAAAGGTCGCGGGTTCGAGTCCTGGCGACTCAGAAGTTTTTGATCTGCCCTACTTTCAACTGTAGTTACGTTGTGGAATTCTTTCCGCGCAATCTTGCAATCTTTCTGTCTTTCTGTCTAAGCGCAAAATTTGCAATCTTTCTTTCTAAGCCGGTTTAAATCCGTATTTCTCTGCTCAAACTATTTAATTTACTAAATTTGTAAATGGTATTCACTTTTTTTCTTTCTTCAGATTAATTGCAAATTGTAATTTCAATTTTTGTGTGTTGTAGATCTTTTTATTAATGCTTTATTACTGAAATAAAAGTATATATGATATATTTGTGCTGTTCGCTTTGTATTGGGTTGATGGAAAAATCCTTTCCGATTTTTTTGGGAGAGTACCTTAAATTTGTCGAATTTTGACGTTTTATAGCTCATCCTAAAGCTGAATTCAAGACGGATCGATTGGTCAAAAACCGTTTTGAGATATCTCTTTTCTAAAACTTTTTACAGCTATTTTAGTAAAGGGCGGCAGAGCCAAAAAATCGGTGTTTTCACGTTTCGTTAGTTTTCCGTGCAGAAACCTAGGCTAAAAACATGTGTTTCGTGATCAGCGTCAAAAATAACCCCTAGACACGCATTTTCAGAATCTTAACAAAAATTTTTTGAAAAATATTGTCACCGGTGGGAGTCGAACCAGCGACCCTCAGATCAATAGCCTTTCCTCCGCTTTTCGCGATTTTCCTTCGTTTTTCTCGTTTTTTTTGTTTTATCATTTTTTTGATGTTGTTAGAAGGCTTTTTTCAGGAATGTCGTGTCAAGTTGAATCGGAGAAACCAGCGACACCTGTTTGTATGCATTCAACCGAAAACTCAATGCCGCACAGGCTCATCGAGAGATCACTGACGTTGATGGACCCGATTTCGTGACCGAACGAACTATCCGGAATTGATTTCAACGATTTCGTGAAGGAAATTTCTCACTTCTCGATAGTCCAAGAACAGGAAGACCATCGGAAAATTTGCAATATGTTGCCTTTTATTTTCAAAATTTCTCACCTTAAGTGCACAAATTGTCAAACTTTTGTCACTTTTTTCCCATAAATTTTTGTCTCGGAAAGGAAAATTGGCTCGTTTATTCGTTTTTGCGGAATTTAGAGCCCTGTTTAGCTAAAGATTAAGATCTCATAGGCGTGAGTGGACAAAGGGAGATCGACAAGCGGAATCTGGAAATAGAAAAAAGGAAAAATTTCACAGAGAAAGCAACTATTCACAGCAAATTCCCCGGCTTATAATTTTATGCGGATCATTTATTTATCAATTTTTCTATTATTATCATTTTGCGGATGTGATAATTTGTGTTCTGATGGGCATTCACCGTTGATTGATGGAGAGGAGGCATTTCTTTGTTCTCGGCAATGCCCGGATGGGTTTCAATGCGAGAATGTCGTTAGTTTTTAGAGTAATGAGAAAAATATGGAGTAGTAAAGCCGTTAAAATTGATGAATTGTTTAGCTGAGCGTTTAAAAGTCCAGTTTGAGTCCAGTTTAAGTCCAGCTGAGCTTTAAAAGTCCAGTTTGAGTCCAGTTTAAGTCCAGCTGGGCTTTAAAAGTCCAGTTTGAGTCTAGTTTGAGTCCAGCTGAGCTCTCTATTATTTTTCTTTATTTGTAGTTTATAGTTGTGTTAGATTTAGATCAAAAAAATTAAATATTACATAAATTTGTCTTTAGACAGGATTTCCCGCTGAAGTGTGTTGCCCGAATTTACCCAAACTCTATGAGATTTATGGGGATGAGCAAAAACCAGAAGCCGCTATTTCTGAAACGAAAAACGCAAGCAGGACAGTTGAAGGGAAAGATGAACAAGATGAACAAGGTTTTCTCAAAGTCAATAAAATGAAATGCAAGCTTTTATTTCAGTTAAACACAACTTTGTTAAAGTAAAGACGAAAGACGAACTCGTTCTCGATGAGGAAAGCGGTATGGTAAAGAAAAAAATGCTATATTTTCGCAGTTTTAGGGATTCAATACTCTTGTGAGCGGCAGAATTACGAGATTTTGTGTAAAAACGAAACCCTTGCCACTCAGGCGACGATTCGGTGGTTTCGAAATGGGAAACAATGCGAGTACTATCCATGGGGATATTGTCCAGGTAAAAGTTGGAAGTAAAGTAGAAGTAAAAGTAGAGAAAAGTAAAGGTAGAAGTAGGGAAACAAAACTAGAGAATAGACCCTGGGAAAGTGGATCTGTTTCTTGGGAAAAAGTACTCTGATTCGTCTAGTTTACGAGTCAGTACAGGGTGCGATAGGGTTATTGCAACCTAGTTTTGCAACATCAATCCCAGTTCAAACAACTATCTCGACAAACTTAAGAAAGACTTTCTTCTTCTTTTGGCTTCTTTCGTGAGCCAAGAATCACTGGCGACAGGATTTAGTGCTTTATGCAAGATAATGCTTATGCTCACAGAGCTCAAGTGGTTCAGGGCAGCATTTTCCCGATTTGGCCATCCTCAAGTCCATCCTCATTCGATGAATTTCCGTATTTGGAATGTTCTTAAAGCAAGAAACATGCTCAAAACCGTATTCCAGTATCGATTCGCTTCAGAAATCTCTTCAAAAAGCATAAACTCGTACGTATGAGTACAATAGTATTGTATGAGTACAATAGTATTGTATGAGTACAATAGTATTGTATGAGTACAATAGTACTGTATGAGTACAAAAAGTACAATGATTCTTTATTATAGAGAGTACCATGTTTAAGTATAAAAGAAAAATCTCTTGGAAAGTTGAACGTTTTTTCTATATTACTCTTTAAAAATACCTTTTTTCTATTCTTCTTTCACAATCAGATTGAATTAAGAGACTTCATTAAGTATTTAATTGATTTTCAAATAGAAATAGAAATAGAATTCTTTTTTTTAGGCGATCTTGTCATTCACTCGACAACGATTCGAACGAAGCGAGCTTGCGAAGAGTTGTGCTTTGAGAGAAAAGAACAAAAAGGTTTTTAAAAAACAATGAAATGAAATGAAAAACTTGATTTATTTCTAGAAAATATAACGACAATAAAACCATTGGAAACCATTGGAACAACGGCCACCATTCAACCGACAACATTGCAATTTCCTACAATAATCTCTGATAGTGCAAGTGGAAAGGAAAATTTTGTACAAGTTGCACTTTTTCCTGAAAAAAAACACTTCAATTTTCAGGGAAATCTCACAGATATCATTGTTGATAGTGTTGTTGAGAAGAGTTTTGATGGAAATGATGTGGCTGAGTATGAAGTTAGCTTTAGATTTTCTTTAAGAACAGATTTTCTCTTAGGAAAATGAAGAAAAGGAGAATCCCAAAGAAATTCGCTTGAGATTCTCGAAAAATGTCCAAGGTAAATGGATTTTTTTTTTTAATTTTCAGCATAATCCTTCAGGAATTGAGAGTAAAAACGATTTTGGCGAGTTTTCCGTCGACAAAGTGGGCATCACGATTGAGGATAAACAAGAGAAAAGTATGTGTAGGCTGGGAAAATAGAAGAAAATAGAATTTTTCTTTGTTTTTGAATCTTGAAATCAATCTTTAAGCTAAAAGAAGAAATCTACTGGATAAATTGATGTCAGACTGTCAGATCTAAATGTCAGACTTTTACAGATGCTTTCAGAGAGCACAGTTTAACATATTTTTATCGGCAAATGTTTGTATAGCATGACGAGAAAGGATTTTTTTGTCCGTAGAATCGGCTAATTGTTTCTGATGTATCTTTTAAATGATAAAAATTAGATCTCATTTGGTTTAGCTATAAATGGTTTACATGATTCAGCCATATATGCTTTAACCATCCAGGATTTAGCCACCCATGATTTAGCGATCCAGGATTTAGCCATCCAGGATTTAGCCATCCAGGTTTAACCATCCAGGATTTAGCCATCCAGGTTTAACCATCCAGGATTTAGCAAATCCAGGATTTAACCATCCAGGATTTAGCAATCCATGATTCAGCCATCCATGATTCAGCCATCCATGACTTAGCCAAATTCAATTTTTCCAAAAAAAAACCGGTTATTTTGTTTACAATAGTTGATTAGCTACACTTCAAAATATTATGCTTTTTAGTTTACGGTTCAAAGTATACCGTTTTTACAACTAAAAATGGTTTTTATTTCTAGCAACTTAACTACTCAGCATCCAGTATTCAATTTCTAGCTGTGATTGTGATCACTTTTGCAACCCAATAGCTCTTTTTATGCTTTTAACCTTCCAGAGCCACCAATCTCGTGTCAACTTGTCCCTCTTCGCACAATGTGCGACTCCGGGATGGCCGCTCAATTCACATGGAGATGGATTTTAAACGAAACGACAAAAGAGTGCACAACGACCCCATTTGGATACTGTAGTGTAAGTTTCAAAGTTGAAAATTGGTCAAAAAGAAATTCTAGGGTGAAATGAATGTAAACCTGCCGAGAACTCAAGAGGAATGCCAGCGAGCTTGTTTGAAAGGATGATTTATCTCACAATAGGAATATCTTACAATACAATATCACATAAAAATTGACTTCTTTTCAATGATTATACAAATATTTCAAGCTCTTCCATTTTCTTTTCCAAATTTGATCGCTCAAAATCGTTTCGTTGTCGAGGTAAACGTCGAGGTAAACTCGTGATCGAAATATCCGCACTAAAAGTCCCGTCAATGCCTAATTTGCTGGAATCTGAGAATCTGGAGATTTTAATAAAGTAATACCGCTTATTTTAAGCTCATTTTTGTTTCTAAGTTATATTTATGATCTAAAAATCACTGCCTGCCGAGAACTCAAGAGGAATGCCAGCGAGCTTGTTTGAAAGAATGATTTATCTCAAAATAGGAATATCTCACAATACAATATCTCACAAAAAATGACTTTTTTTAAATGATCACACAAATATTTCAAGCTCTTCCATTTTCTTTTCCAAATTCGTTTCGAAATCGATTCGTCGTCGAGGTAAACTCGTGGAAAAAATGATCGAAATGTCCGCACCAAAAGTCGCGTGAATGCCCAATTTGCAGCGTTGAATCTGGAGATTTTAATAAAGTAATATCGGTAATGAAAAGTAATATAGCATATTTTAAGCTCATTTTTGTTTCTAAGGTACATTTATGTTTTAAAAATCACTTGAAACAATGTGACATCGTTGATTGACGAGAGTTTCGCCACAGAATCGATTCGATTCGTCGCGATTCTCCCCAACAAATAGGAGACTGGTCGATGAGGGTGATTGGCTCGAAAATGCTGAAAAAGAAAGGATTTTACTAACAAAGTCTTTAAAAATATGTTAAGTTTTAGGTGATTTTCTTAATTTCTAGATTCTTGCTTACATTGATGAGGATTTGCACCCCGCGAACGGAAATCCCCGTGTCGACATTTTCGAGGATCAGCTGCGATGGAAGAGTACCCATTTTTGAGAGCTCAAAAAAGACGCGATCAGTCAAAAATGGAAATCTGAAAGTTGAGAAAGGTTTAAAACTGTTTAGAGTTAGTAAGTTTAGAGTTGTTTCTAAAAAAACGAACGAAAGTCGGTCATGAGTCGAGCAAATCTTCACACACTCCAATTGGGGATTCTCGATGAAGAGCTGATTGCAAATCGAGTGAAAATCCTCGAATGTACAACCGGAGAGATTCAAATAGCGAACATTTGAAGTGGAGAGGAAATTCGACAATCCTGCGTAACTGGAAAAATGATTTTTGAGGCATTCTATCAGTTTGAAAGAGTTTTTGAATACAATCTGGTTAGAAGTTAAATTTCATCACAATCTCTATTAGAACACAATCCATTTAGGAGTTCTATTTTAGCACAATACCTACTAGATACCTAGCACAATACCTACATTATCAACAAAGTCAACAAAGCTTTTGTTTTAACTCAAATCATTAGCATGATCTTTTAGCAAAACTAACTGAACTTACCTGACTGAAATCCCGGCTTCTTTCGCGAGGAATCGATTGATTTGAACTCTCGAGAGGACATTTAGCTAGAAATTTTGATCTAACTCTTCAAACTCTTTAACAGAAAATGCTACGATAAATCCACTCACTAAAACATCGCATAATTTCCCGTAAAAGATCAGTGTTTCGATGTTAACCCGAGCAAAGTAGCGCCTCAGACCGGAGATCTAAAGATTTAGTTTGTAAAGGGTTGGTGAATTGAAAACTGCCGGACTTTGAACTAAAATTTATTCAACATAAAACCATGAATTCATTCCAAATAATTTCCATTATTATTGACGACTTCTGCCCATTTTACAGGCAATTTGCGGATTCCTCTTTCGTGGTAGGGTTTTGGTTTGTGTGTGAGACAAGTGTGAGACTCAAAAATGGAGGACTGGAGATGTCCCTGGAGGACGTTTGAGCACTTTCTTCAAAAGAAACCCATTTTGGTGTAAATAGAAAAGTTGTAGAGAATCAAAAATTAGGCTTATAGCCAAATTTCCAAAAGGATACACTTAGTAGTTTCGCTTAAAATGCAAGTTTTGTGGAAATTCATAAATTTGGCATTTCTTGAAAACCAGTTTTTGAATCGTTCTGAAAATTTGGATATAAGCTTGATTTTTGATTCTCTACAACTTTTCTATTGACACCAAAATGGGTTTCTTTTGAACAAAGTGCTCAAACGGTCACAGATGACAATAGCCCGCAGTTTTCAATTCACCGACCCAATAGATTGAGATTAGCCTTGATTTGAGGAGAAGTCAATGTCCAATTTGAGGATTCGGAGCCGGCCAGATTAGTTTCTCGAAGGAGAGGGAAGGGAGTTATGTAAAAGCCCTGCGCCAGACGGCGAGCGGTTACGCACAAAGAACACACAGAACACACAAATTTTAAGCGAAACTACTAAGTGTATCTTTTTGGAAATTTGGATATAAGCTTGATTTTTGATTCTCCACAACTTTTCCATTGACACCAAAATGGGTTTCTTTTGAAGAAGGTGCTCAAACTGTCACATATGACAATAGCCCGCAGTTTTCAATTCACGAACCCAATAAATAGTTTAAAGCCTATTCCAGTTTTATTCCAAACAGTGAACTTTGAAAACTTCTATTCTAAAAGCCCACATTTGTGTAAATGTGATGGGTTTTCATGTTGCGTTTGACCATGCGAAAGCGAATCAGTCCACCGGATGAGCGCGTCAACTCGACTTCTTTCACGTAGTGTTTGGGAAGATCGAAAGATTTTCTCTGAAAAGATGGGAGAGTTGAAAAGAGCTTAAATGTCTTCAGAAAAGAATTTATCTTTCGGATTACTTACTCGAATTATTTTATGAAACTTCTTGTTCACCATCATCAACTTATCAACATCATCGGTGGGCAAATAAGAAAAGATTCGAGTGAGCAGGGTTTCATTGAGGGAATCGATTGATCGGCTGAAAAAAAAGACATTTTCAGCTTCATTTTAAGCTTCCTTTAAGCTACTGTACTTTTAAAAGGCCATAATCTGAATGATATTTACATTTAAACAATTACTATCTGTTTTGCATACTGAAAAAGTTGACAAAGACAAGAAAAAGTAAAAAAAAGATAAGTACAAAGTAGTTGAAAGTTTAATCAACACCGACCTGCTTTCAACTTTTGCAAACTCTCCATAGTCATTCTCTTGAGTTTTCTTCTGATTGGCGAGCTCGGTGATTGTTTGAATCTTCGGCGATTTGAAAGGGATTTGCGTTGCCAATTTGGCTTTAGCTTTCGGTGAAAAGTAGATCTTCTTCGAGGTGAACGGGATCTTTAAATAAGCGAGATTTTTCATGACTTGTAGATTGATCAACGATTAATAGAAGATAGAGCTTTTTATCTAATGATTGCTGAAATGGCAATTGTTGGTTGGCAATTGTTGGTTGGCAGTTGTTGGCTGACAATTGTTGGCTAGGAATTGTTGGCTAGGAATTGTTGGCTGAAGTAATTGTAGTGCTTGTGGTCGAATGCCCATTTTGCACCCATCCAGATGAGCTCTTGCACGAGTTTTTATGTCAATAATCAATTATCTGTTAATTTAAAGGCAATGCAAAGAGAAAAAAACTATACTAGAGTTATAGCCAAATCAGTAACCCAGATAGTCAAGCTAAAGTCAAATTTTAAAGCTTTTAGTCAAGCTAAAAGTTTAAAATTCTTTTTACCAACAGTAAATACCGAAAGAATTCATTTTTTACATGTTTTCGTGATCTCAAAGTTTACATGCAGCGACAAAATGAGACTAAAAGGGAAACAGAGAGCAATGGGGGATTTCCGAGCTCTCGAATTCCTCGCCGCCACGATTTTATGAGTGCGAGTCGATAGACAAAAAAAACATCACCCCAAAACGGGGTTTTGCCAAAGAGGTCATTTGAAAGTTGAAAATTCCCTGCAATCCTTTTACCATTCTTGATTCATTCTTGATAAACATTTTTCTTCAAGATTTAGATAAACTTCTGCAATAGACGAACTTGATGTTGCCTATACATTCCAATGATTTCTCAAAACTGACCTGTTCAGACTAGGCCAATACGGGCATGATTTAGCTCTGATTCAGGCTTGTTTAACTTCTAATGAGCCAGCTTCTAATGAGCCTTCTTTTAATGAGCCAGCCTAAGTCTGGTTTAGCTCAGCAAGTCCAGAAGCCATATGCTCCATTACCGGAAACTTTCCGCGATCTTGGACGCTTTTCTCCAGCTAAAAACGTTCGCTTTGCTTACAAATTATACCATTTTCTAGAAAATTCTTTCCTCTTTCTGCCAAAAACAAAAATTTCTAAAAGGCTTTCTCAAAAGGCTTCGGCGGCTTCGGCTTTAGTCCAGAGCATCTAGTGCAGTCCTGACCAGCACTGAAATTATCCAGGATCTGATCGAGATCTGACTCTGATCTAGCTCTCTAGTAAAGCTTGACTGACCTCGGACCTCGGACCTAGACCTCAGACCATTCAAACTTTTAAAATTTGTACTGAGGCTTAAAGCTGATAGGGAAAAGGATTGTGATTTCCAATCCAACCAATCACTCGTCCACTGATCACTGAACTGATCCAGGATCTGATCCAGGTCTAGCTCTGATCTAGCTCTCTAGTAAAGCTTGACTAGTAATGCTGATAAGGAAAACGATTGTTATTTCCTCAATCACTAGACCTCGGATCATTCAAACTTTTAAAATTTGTACTGAGGCTTAAAGCTGATAGGGAAAAGGATTGTTATTTCCAATCCAATCAATCACTTGTCCACTGATCAGTAACTGATCCAGGATCTGATCTAGATCAGGTCTAGCTCTGATCTAGCTCTCTGGTAAAGCTTGACTTACAATCCCTAGAACTCCGAACATCCAAAGTTTTAACATCTATACTGAAGCCTAAAGCCGATAGGGAAAAGGATTGTTATTTCCAATTGAACCAATCACTCGTCCATCAATAATCATACCCGACTGTGGCTTGTCCTTGTAATCCATCCCCTTTTTTCCAAATCGACCCCAATACATCTCATCTTTCTTTATTATCACCCTTCACCCATAAACACTCTTTTTCAATTTCATGCAACAAAAAAAACTCGTTCTTTTCTTTTCTTTTCTTTTCTTTTCTTTTCTTTTCCCATTGATCTCTCGCTATTATTTTCTCGAGACTGATCGGCTGTTTGTTCGATTTTTGATAGGGCTAATTTTGGAGTATATTTTTTTCTTTTGGTAATTGTGATCTTCATTGCTCATTTGTGTGAACAAAATATTTACTAGAGCAGAGCAAAAAAAAAGTGCTTTGCAACAGCGAGTGCAAGTCTAACTACAGTTTTCGGCATTTACCCGAACTTTATCGCTTTCCAACTCTTGTGTTTTGTTTTCAAATTTCTAAATTTCTTTCACTAAAAAATAAGAATTGATTTAAACTTAAAAATTTTCGAATCTTTTTACAATTATAAGTGAATATTGATTTGCGAGTTTGCTTTGTCAATTCTCTGTTCAATTCAATTCAATTCAATTCAATCTCTGTCTATCTCTGTTCAATTTGTCAACTTGAAGATGTGTTAGAGTTTGTTTTTCAAATAAATTCTCGATTTTAGCTTAAACCAATCATGATTTTTGACTTTATTGATAAATTTGTAAATCTCAAATCAATAACTCTTTCAAAAAAGGTTTAACCTTCATGTAATCGACTCATTCTTGTGATTACAAGTGATGAGATTAGTGAGTGAGTAAAGGTAGACAAGATCGAACGCCGTATATCACTGTTTAGAGAGGAGAAGAAGATGAAAAAGAGGAGAAGAAGATTGAAAAAGAGGAGAAGATGATGAAAAAGAGGAGAAGACGATGAAAATGAGGAAAAGAAGATGAAAAAGAGGAAAAGAAGATGAAAAAGAGGAAAAGACGATGAAAAAGAGGAGAAGAAGATTGAAAAGAAGTGGAAAAAAGAAATGACAAAGTGAAAAGATTGGTAAAATCGGGGTAAAATGGGGAAATAAAGTCTCAAAGTCTTTTTTTTTGTCCATGGTCATTCTCGGGATCTTCCCCCATTCACCCAATAGGGAAAAAGAAAAGAAACAACGACCAATTCGTTGTCTTTGGTTTTCCTTTCCAATCGTTCGTTTTTATTTTCTCGTTTCGATCAGTGAGAGCAAAGCAAAGCTCTCTTTTGCTCAGACAATTAGTCTCACCGTGTTCGACTCTTGGTAACCTATCAAGTAATCAAAACTTATCAAGTAATCAAAAAATTTCAGTGATTGATTTGATTTATCGTTTGTTCTTCATTTATTTTGTTATAATCTGTTTTTAAAAAATCCCTCATAACCATTGAATAGCTGATTTTTTATTCACTTTTCACTTAAACTTTAAATCTTAAAAGCTTTCAGATCTAAATCTAATTAGAAGTAATTTAACTATTGATTCATTTAGTTTTTTTTCTTGGCTTTATTATTTTGTCTATTATCTTGAGATTTAAAGCACTTTTAGGCTTTTTCCTCTTACTTGTTCATTGCAAAAATGGCGATGGAGGAGATCGATCTAAGCGATCGACGAGGGCTTATTGCGATGGCATATGGGGTAATAAAGAAATCAGCTTTGGAAGTTGATGACAGCTTATGAAGCTGATGATAGCTTTAGATGCTGATGATAGCTTTAGAATCCGAAAGAAGGAAACAAATCGCTAAACACATCAACTTCTACAATTGATAAAGGATCGGATAAAGCACCACTTACAAATATCAATGGGAAGAGTCAAGAAAGAGAACGAGAGAGGGAAAGAGATCGGGAAAGGGGAGAGACGAGAGAACCCCGGAAAGTGAGTTGAACTTCAAGACTGGACAAATTTTAAATTTCTTTTAAATGAAATCTCAGAAAAAACGAATCTCATGTGCCTATGCTACTTGCCTCTTCTTATTGCTTTGTGCAATTCTCGCGTGTCTCCTCTCCGCTTTGATCACTTATGGACTAACGAAACAGGCGTTTGACCGCGACGGAGACGTGCTACCATTTGTGCCGGATCCAAGATATAATTTGTGGGTTTTCTAACAACTTTCTGATTCAATAACAGTTAGCAAGTCAAGGTGATGATCAAGATTGATTGATTGATTGATTGATTGATTGAGTCAAGATTGATCTTTCCAGGACTCAAGAAGAAGCGCTACTCGATGAGGAAGAAGAAGAGGAAAGAGATCTCTCGATTCCACCAATGGCCGATCTCCGCTTGCCGAAAGATGTCATTCCACTGTGGTTTGTTTTCAAATCACAATCAACAGAGATGTACGGGGCCGACAAATACTCCGCGGCTAATTTTCTGCAAATATCTTTACCAAATATGTTTACCGAATACAGCGTTACCGACTATTTTAGAAAATACAACCGTGGTTATTTGTAAAAAGTTTTTAAGCGTTTAAACGTTTGAAAAAATTGCTTTTAAGATTTGGATCCAAACCGGATTCAAACCCGCTTGGATTTGCATCCAATCCGGATTTAACAACCAAGTCTCATCATTACAGGTACAATTTGACCGTTCAAGTGCACCTCCCCGGTTTTGTTCCGATCGAAAAGGATAAAAATCTTACATACGATGCTTCGATTACGATTAAGGTAATTTGAATTTGAAATTGGATTTGAAATTGAATTTGAAATTGGATTTGAAATTGAATTTGAAATTGGATTTAATTTGAAAATAACTCTGAGAGACTTTTTTCAGGTGAAAATCGTGAAAGACACTGACAAAATTGTTTTGAACTCGAAAGAGTTGGATCTCGATTTGAATGCTGGATCGTTCCGGATTTTCGAAGATAAACAAGACTCCGAGAACAAGGTGAGACAAAAAAGAAGATTGATTTTTATTAGAGAATTGCATTTTAAAACTGACATGAATCTAGAATCCAATCTTTTTCAGCGAGCACAACGCAGCTCCAACGAAACCGAGTCGGAGAATGAGGGTTTCAATGCTACGGAGATCACAACAATAGTTCGTTTTGTTGCTGTTTTGTTGCTGATACTGATATCAGCATCAAGTTCTAATAATTAAAAAGAATTAATCGAGTTTTCGAATAGATTAGCTGTAATTTGAGTTCAGAGCTGTTGATTGAGTTGAGTTGATCAACTCAAACATGAGTTGATTTAATGTGAAAAAGATATTAGAATGTGTCAGAATATTTGTTCAAATGAATTTGCTTTTTCACGGTGATCCGCTTCCATGTAATCTGTTTCTGGTTCCCTGAAATATATAATTGACGGTATATCCTAAATTTAACGCTGGCTATCTATAAATTGAATGAGATAAACAGATCATTTAAACAAGACAAAAATACTAGCTCTCTAGTAAAAAACAAGACAGAAGTCCAAGCTCTAGAGTTAAGTAAATTTCAAATTTCAAATTTGAATCTAAACATTGAATGTATTTTGGGGTAAACTTTTAGCTTTTTTTGATGTTTTAATATTGGAATGGTTAATGAGCTTAAAATTACAAGTACAAGTAACGGATAAGAACTATTTTATATATATGTCGTAGCCGATGAAGGAAGAAGTCTCAGACTTCTTCGGTTAGCCGAAGACGGCTTCGGCTATTTGAGACTTCATCGGCTAACCGAAGAAGTCTGAGACTTCTTCGGCTAGCCTTCTTAGGCTATTTGAGACTTCATCGGTTAACCGAAGAAGTCTGAGACTTCTTCGGCTGAAATCCTTTATCGGCTACGATATATAGATATATATATATGTCGTAGCCGATTATGAATGAAATTTTTTGGCAAATCTTTCTAGTAGAGCAACCCTTTAATGTATGAGGATAATATTATATCACCTTGTAGCGAATTAAATTCTGCGTCGATTGGTACCAAATTTGTGAGTTTAGGTTAAAAATTGCCGGCGCTACAACGTTTCATTCAAAATCGGTTGGACCCCTGTAGCCGATTATGAATGGGTGGGTCTAGGAGCGTCCAACCATCAAGTATTTAGTATCATTCAACGCAGAATCATTAATAATTATGTTAAATTTTTAAAATTAGCGAGATTTGATAAAAAGAAAAAAAAAATTAGAGCAAAAAAACTGTTTGTTCAAGAGAAAACTTTGAAGCCCCATAATTTGTGTTCTTTTTATCAAATCCTTCTAATTTCAAAAATTTAACATAATTATTAATGATTCTGCGTTGAATGATACCAAATACTTAATGGTTGGACGCTCCTAGACCCACTCATTCATAATCGGCTGAAATTCATAATCGGCTACGACATATAATTGACGGTATATCCTAAATTTAACACTGGCTATCTATAAATTGAATGAGATAAACAGATCATTTAAACAAGACAAAAATACTCTTCCAACCTAAACTTATACTGGTTTAGCACGAAACAAAGACCACCACTGAACGTTCAAACATTGTCCCACATCGAAATTTGACTTTCGAGGAGGATCATAACGAAAAGGAAAACGGTAATTGACTTTTTTTACAATCAGAAGGAGTGAACGTTGTGCTCAAAGGGTTAAAGCACCTTTCTGATGCTGATTATAAGAACATGGAAGCCCGCATGAAGACATGAGGAAATCAGCTATGCGACTTGAAGGGCACTTACTACCCATTGACTGGAATGCGCAAGGAAGTGCAAACGCAACTGATCGCTGACCATTTTCTCTTCAAGGAGGGCGATCGCTTCCTTTGCTAATAAAAGAATTTAGTGCACCGGAAAACGTGTGATTGCATTTTTGAGCACAACAATCTTTATCCTCAACTTTTAGATCTCAAAATCAAGAAAATCACCCTAAATGAAACGCTCCAATTTTTGACTTTTCATCTTTCTGAGAAACTCTCCGCTGGGAAAGAAGTTTACATAAAGGTTTGAGGTGAAAGAATTGAAAAAATAAAGTTTTTTTTATAGTTTGCCTTTTCTCGCAAACTGAGAACGACAATGAATGGTCTTTATTTGACAAAATATAAAACAGAAAATGGAACTGAGAGGTTTGTTGGAGGTATTCTTTGAGATTAGAGATAGTAAAGTGGTGCCAAGACTTGGCCGCGCGATCTCACACTTTGCAAACACGTTACTAATGAGCTATAAATATCACCAGATTTGCTTTATATCGACTTGCGAATGCTGACTTAACGCTCCTTGACAGTTACCAGTTTACTTTTAAAGTACCGCCCACAAGTGTCCCCATTCCCAACCGAACTACGTTTTTGGCGCTTTCTTCCCGTTCACTTGACCGATTTGGCTACACTTGATTTCATTCGATAGCTTTGATTAATATCTATCGAATAAAATTAAGTGTAGCCAAATCGGTCAAGTGAGCGGCGAGAAAAATGCAAAAAACATAGGTCGGTTTGGAAATGGGAACACTTGTGGGCGGTACTTCAAAAGTATAGTTACCAGTCTCTTAACGGTACCAGTCTCTTAACGGTACCAGTCTCTTAACGGTGCGAGTCTCTTAACGGTACCAGTCTCTTAACGGCACCAGTTTCTTAACGGTACCAGTCTCTTAACGGTACCAGTCTCTTAACGGTACCAGTTTCTTAACGGTACCCACACAACGAGGGTTCGATTCCGCTCACCGTCAAGGTTTTTAGTTTTTTACAACAATTTATCAAACTTTTGCTGAAATCTAAAGATCAGCAAGGTAATGTTTTTTAAAATATTGAATTTGAACATAATTATGCCAAGTTTTAGTTCAAGCTCGTTCAAAGTCATTAAGAGAATCGTTAAGAGAACTGTTAAGGAACTGTTAAGAGAACTGTTAAGCAAGTCTAGCTTTATGAATTGAAAAAATTCTTATTTACAACTGAATCCTTTAGATTATTCGCTATGACGCACATGGAACCAGCTTATGCAAGAGGATTTGTTCCTTGCTTTGACGAGCCACATTTGAAAGCACCCTGGAAGATCAAGGTCATTGAAAAGATTTAATAGAAAAAGATTACTAGCTTTTGCTTTTGCTCTTTGTAAAAGCATTGTACATTGTACGCATGTACAAAAAAGAATGGGTTTATGTTTTGAGCAAGTGTTCAAGACTTTAATTTAGATCATTCACCCGAAAGGCACCAAAGCTATCTCGAATGGAATCGAATTGGAAGAGAGTGTGGCCACGTGAGTTGTGGTATTGAAAACGAAAAGAAAACAGAAAAGATTACAGAAAAGACTCGCCCGATTGGGTGTACACTTCATTTGGGGAAACGCTGCCAATTTCGTCGTACTTGGTGGCAATGTCGGTGAACGACTTCGAATATTTGGAAGGGGAAAGCGCTAAAGGGACGAGGGTTTGTTTTGAGTTTTGAGGAGCGCTAAAAATCATCGAAAGTATATAAGCGGTAAATTTTGAATGAATATTGAGTGGATATTGAATGGATATTAAACTTGCTCTTTAGAAAAATTCCCATTTTCAGTTTCGCGTTTGGGCCCGAGCCACAGCAATCAACGAGACCGAGTACGCGCTCGATATTGGCATAAAGTCGATCGATTTCTATGAGAAGTACTATGGAATGGAGTATCCAATTCCTAAACAAGGTTTTAAAAAAGAGAAAATATGGTTAAACAAATGTTTTAGACATGATCGCCGTCTCCGATTTTGATCCAGGTGCAATGGAAAATATGGGACTGATTGCATTTCGCGAGATCTTAGTTTTGTACAATCCAAAGGTGAAGTAATCTTGGAGATTATTATTATCGTTATTATTATTATTATTATTATTATTATTGTTATTGTTATTATTATTACTATCAATACTTCATGTAAGCACGAAAAAGTGAAAGGAAAATGTTTAATTGACAAAATGATACACAGTAAACATTCGACAAAAGGCGAGAAAAATTGTAGAGAATGAAGGAGAGATTGATTCTATTTCTATTCTAATTAAGATCCTAATTAAGATTCTAATTCAGATTCTAATTTAGCTTCTAATTCAGATTCTAATTCAGATTCTAATTCAGATTCAAATTCAGATTCAAATTCAATAAAAAATACAATAACTATCTATTCAATGACAAAACTATTTGGGATCTAATGGAAATTCTGATTTTACAGCTCCACTCACTTCAAACAAAATACAAGGTGGCGACAACAGTAGCTCATGAAGTTTCGCATCAGGTTGGGGAATTTGGAAAGAATATAAAAGGAATAGTTTCGTGAAAAGAACAGTTTCAATCGAATCTCTTTAGTGGCTAGGCAACTTGGTGACAATGGATTGGTGGAACGATTTGTGGCTGAATGAGGGAACGGCAAGATATTTGGAAGCGAAAGCCGTTAAAGAAATCACAAATGGATCTTTCCAAGGGGTCTGTTCGAAGAAAGCTATAGTATTACTATAAGTTTCTAAATTAGCACTTGAAAATCACTCTTTCAGGATCAAATGTTTGAACTCTATGAGCATAACAGAGCCTTCACAAAGGACGCAAGATCGTCATCACATCCACTTCATCTGAATATCACTTCATACGATGAAGTGAAAGAGGCTTTCGATTTTATTACTTATGATAAGGTAAACCTTTTTTAATTTCTAGGAAATATTTTTGATTTGTTTAATTTTAGGGAGCTTCTCTTTTGAAAATGATTGAGAAGATCATTGGTGAGAAGGATTTCGAAAAAGGACTCAAGGTAGAGATTGGTAGAGATTGAATGTCTGTAATCTTAAGTCAGAGCTCTTAACCCAGAGCTCTTAACCCAGAGCTCTTAACCCAGAGCTCTTAGCTCTTAATCCAGAGCTCTTAACCCAGAGCTCTTAACCCAGAGCTCTTAGCTCTTAATCCAGAGCTCTTAGCTCTTAAGCCAAAGAAGTTTGTAAGCTTGCATATCTGACAGGATTTGCAAAAATCTAATTTGATTTATGGAATTTGAGTGGAATTGGAAGTGATCCCATTGCCAGAGAAATATTGGCTTCTAGTGGCTAACAAGTTACAAGTATAAAAGCGATAATTTCATTGTAGTAGTAAGATTACGACATGGTAAAAGTGGAAATTTAGGATTACGTCAAAAAGCTTTGCTACAAGACGACCAACTCATCGAGTCTATTCGAGGCGTTGAACAGTGAGATACCGGAAAAGGTTAAGGTTTACAGAACTTATAGAATTGGAGGCTTTTTTTAGTTAACCGGTTGGGATGAGAAGAAGTTCGATTTACCCGATTTTGCGAACAAATGGACAGAACAGGTTTCATTCTTAAACATTTTAATAAGGGGAAATTTCTAGATGGGTTATCCGGTGGTCGAGTTGCATCGATTGGACAATGAGACACTCGAATTCACGCAGAGACGCTTCAAGAGGGATCCCACCATTCCTGAGTCGGCTAGGTGAAGTGAAGTTGACCTCATTTGAACATTAGTCAGACGGAGGTTACGGTAGTTTTCAAGTCAGACGGCAGTCAGTCACACGCACCTTACGATAGTTTCCACTTTTTAGATATCGAAACGCGAGATACTGGTACAAATGGGATATCCCTTTGTGGTATTCAGTGGATGGAGATGAACAACCGTTGGCCTGGCTACATGAAGGTATAAAAAAAGTTAACAATCGTATCAATTAATCAAGAATCATATCAATTCCAAGAATCATATCAATTCCAAGAATTGTATCAATTTTACTCAAAAGGAAAGGTCACAAGACTGAAGTGGTCAAATGGCAGAAGCCATATATCATACAGAATTTTACGCTGATTCCTGGTTTTGCTATCCGTTCTTGCTAATGAAACGCGAGGAATCTGGCAAAGAAGTTTGAGGTAAAAAGAGGCCAAAATCAATCCCTATCCAAATCAATCCCTAAGGCTTCTCTCATTTCATTCATTCACTTTATAGATTGCTAATTTTTTGCTAATTCTTTTTATTATTTTGCTTGCTATCAACTAAATGATGTTGTAAAGTAAATTAAAATAGAGTTAATGTAAAGTAAAATAGGGTTAATGTAAAGTAAACTTATTGTAAAGTAAAATAGAGTTAATTCGAGCAGGTAAACATCAAAATAAAATGAAAAGAAAAGCAAGGGATCGAACCCGAGCAAAGACTTGACAGATTGCTTTGAAAACAAGACTCTTATCCACCACGCCACGAGCTAGAGACAGTAAAAGAAGTCTTATATTGACCCCTGATTCGATTTTTGATTTTTGACTGATTTTTGGCCTCTAATTCGACGTCAAACTTGCCTGATTCTTCACGTTTCCAAATCATTTTACAAAAACGGATAGCAAAAACGGAATCAGAGTAAAATTCTCCGTCTTACGGTATATTGCTCATGTCATTTGGCCACCTCAGCCTTGTGATCTTCCCTTGTCAATACAGCTTATCGCCTCAACATCACCGAGAATCAACTGGTGTTGGTGAACCCGGAGTCGATCGGTTTCTACCGGGTCAACTACGATCAACGAGGATGGGAGGCGATTCAGCGGCAATTGTTGAAAGATCATACGGTAAGTGGAAAGATTGTGTGACCTTTGATACGTGTCCCGCCCCTTTTACCATTGGCAATCCAACTTTGAGCTCAAATTTCGTCGGGTTGTCCAATTTAAATAGTTTTTGTAACAATCGATAGAGAAAGACTTGGCGCATCGAATGATATTAAGAAGCTTTAAATTGAACACCCCAACACCAAGATATTTAAGCTTAAAGTTAGATTGTTGGACATTTGTCTCACCCTTTTTGTCAATCTAACTTTAAGCTCAAATTTCTTGGTGTTCGGCTCTTCAATTTCTCTAGTTTTTCTACCAATCGATAGAGAAAGACTTGGTGCATCGAATGATATCAAGAAGCTTTAAATTGAACACCCCAACACCAAGATATTTGAGCTTAAAGTTAGATTGCCAATGGAAAGGGAGCGGGGGGCGTATCAAATGTCCGATAAGCTAACAAATGAGCTATAATTGCACAGCCCAAAACCAAGATATTTGAGCTTAAAGTTAGATTGCTAATGACAAAAGGCGCGGGACAAATCAAATGTTCGATAATGGATAAACAATGTCATTTTTGAGAGAAACGGTAACTTTTCAGAAAATCCCAGTGAAAGGCAGACATCGAGTGATCGACGATGCCTTCATACTTGCAGCTGCAAACCATTTGCCTTACGAGGTGCGGTGTTTCGAATACTATTCTATACAGACTGCTGTAACTGGTTTACTGAACACAGATTACTGTAACTGGATTACTGTAGCAAGTAGACTACGGTAACTGCCATAAAACGCAAACGGTTGATGATAGGATGCTCTGGATGCACACTTTGACCCCACACTTTCTGACGTAGATTCAAAATTGCTCTTAATTCTAGGTGGCCTTCAACGTGAGCTCGTATCTTTCAAAAGAAACCGAAACACTTCCATGGATTGCCGCTATGGCTGGCTTCAACGATGTTCTTCATCATTTCGATGATCAACCGGACAGTGAAGGAATTAGAGTAACTCAGGAAATAGCTTATCAAATTCGTTCTAATTTAGGAGTTCATCAAATCCCAGGTTAAACCATTGTTCAACAATTTGGATGTAACGCACAACTTTGCTGAGGATAAGGATTTATTGAAGAGGTAAGCTTTAAAGTGCTTTAAGAGCTTTAAAGTGCCTTAAGAGCTTGAAGAGCTTTAAAAGCTTTAAAAGCTTTAAAACGTAAGAAATCTTATTGTCTATCTCAGCCTATTGGTCGCTAATGCAATGAAAGTTTACTGTATGGTCGATGGAGCGGAATGCATCGAAAAGGCCATTAAACTTTTCAAAGAGGTTTTCTGTTATGCTTTCCACAATAATAATGAGCTTAAGGATTTCGTTGACGCGTGCTCTCATGATGATATCGCTTCGGAGTGTAGTCGGTGAGACGATCGGACAATCATTTCCCCTTCCCAGACATGAAAAAATTCCAACGAAAACCTAATTCCACCTTCGTTTTCTCAGCCGTTTCTTCGTTTCTCAACCGTCGATTTCTCTGAAATTCAGTTTCAAAATTGCAGAGTAATCGGCCAAGAAACCGTTGAGAAAACAAAGGTGGAATTAGGTTCACTTTGAAGTTTTCCCATGTCTACTCCTCAAGAATTAGTTTCCATCCAAAATTTGATCATGAAAACAATGAGAATATTGGTAAGTCTTGGCTCGAGATCAGCGGAAAGCAATTCTTGAAGTAAGTGTTCGATTTTCTCAGTCGTTTTTCAGTAAGTTTACTTTTCAAAAGAAGTCCAAGATCCAAGAATTCAATGCAAGAAGCAAATCTTTTCATTTAGAGTCCCGGTGACTATTCGGGATACGGTTTATTGCGAGGGGATTCGTTGGGGAACAACTGCCGACTTCGAGAAGATTAGAAATTTAACAATTGTGGGTAAAAGGGGTAATTTTTAAAGGGATCGAACCCGAGCAAAGCAAAGCAAAGCAAAGGCCGACAGATTGCTTTGAAAACAAGACTCTTATCCACTACACCACGAGCTAGAGACAATATATAATGTATAATGTAACTGATCAGCAAAGCTGAGCTGATCAGTTAGCTCTGCTGATCAGTTACATTATATTTTCTTTTATTTGTACTTGAGTAAGCAAAAGCTTATCTGAAAGCAAAAGTTAGATGAAATCGAACTGAATAAAGAAAAAAAAAAGATATTTACTAAAATATAGATTAAATTTTCTTTCTTTACTATCTCTTTTACTATTTGAAGTACTAAATTCTCTATGGTTTAAAAATTTTTATCTTTGATGAGATGCAAGGTTTTGTATCAGATACGCAAAGTTTGTGAGCTATTGCCGTAGCATAAAAGCGCTGTTTGTTCTTTCAAAAGAAACCGAAACACTTCCGTTTGTGCTACAGCGTTTTTTTGTGCTACAGCGCTGTTTGTTCGAGCAATTTCTTTATTTTCGAGTTAAAATTTGGTAAAAATCATGTTCCGTCCCTAGCCAGGGTCTTGAAATTTAAGTTTAGAATATTCCTGATAGCATAAAATCTGTTTGAATCTCGAGATTTCAGCGTGAAACCACCTCCACCGAGCGATCGATCCTCTTGGCCTCATTGGGTTGCTCACGAGATCCATATGTTCTCAAAAAGTTTGTCAAAAACTCAAAATAGACGCAAAATAGATAAAAAAATAAATCTAGAGCTTTCTTTGAGGGAGTGAACGGAACGGATTTCCACGACAACGAGCTGGTCTCACTGTTTCTGGGGGTGAGTGCGAATCGTTGAGCTGTAAAGAGAATTCTAGGCCGCTTATGGAACTGTTGGGAAATATCTGACAAACGATTTCATTATGGACAATTGGAAAGAGCTATTCAAGAGGTTCGATCACTGAAAGTGAAGCAATGATATTGTAAAATTTCAGATTCCAAGACACGCAATTCTCGCTTCGAAACATCGTCTTATACGGGCTACGGCTGAGGGATGAGAGGGACCTGAAAGAGGTACCTATTTCGAAAGTTAGCTTCAAAATTACTCAAAAGTTTACAATCGTTTACATATTCCATGGAAAACTCAATCATTGTTTTTGTTTCAGACTTGATCCGTAAGCAGATATACTTAATAGCAATTAGACTTAATAGCAATTAGACTTAATATCAATTAGACTTAATATCAATTAGACTTAATAGCAATTAGACTTAATAGCAAATAAACTTAATAGCAAATAGACTTAATATCAATTAGACTTAATATCAATTAGACTTAATATCAATTAGACTTAATATCAATTAGACTTAATAGCAATTAGACTTAATAGCAATTAGACTTAATATCAATTAGACTTAATAGCAAATAGACTTAATATCAATTAGACTTAATAGCAATTAGACTTAATATCAAATAGACTTAATAGCAAATAGACTTAATATCAATTAGACTTAATATCAATTAGACTTAACATCAATTAGACTTAATAGCAATTAGACTTAATAGCAAATAGACTTAATAGCAATTAGACTTAATATCAAATAGACATTAAATGCAATCTCACGACTTTGCAAAGAATGCAAAATGATGCACTCAATTTAGAGATTTTAACGGCTGTTAGGAAAAAGCAGTATTTGCTAAGCTGAAAAATTTTTTGTTGACTTAAATCTGATTTGAAATTTGATTGATTTGATAGATAAAGTCTGGCAGATAGGCAGATAGAGGCAGATAGAGGCAGATTTGACTACGGGTCTGCTTCTTCTACTTCTAAGTTTAATACGAGTAAGAGTCTATCTTTTTTTACACTCAGTAATCAAATAAAAGATTGAAAAATGGAAAGCTAAAGTTGAAGATGAATTTTACCCTTCATTTTTATCATTTTCTAGATCGAATCGTTCATCTCAAAGCACAAGATCACCACTCGTCGTTTCTCGGCGTGGAAGAGCGCCATCGAACAGGGAAAGAGTACGCTAAATTGGAATAAACATCATCGAAAATCTCTCATCAAATTCTTCAAAGGGGAAAAGAATGAAAAAAGAGATGAAGATGATGAACTTTGAGATGATTTTTGTGATTTCATTCATTGATTCCACTTGCGTGTACCCCAGAAATGCCGGTGCTTTGTGTCATTTTCTCGATTTGGTGTGTGTGTGTTTTTTTTGATAGTTTAGGAATATTTTGAATGTATAAATTATAGAAATAACTTATGTTTTTGCAAAAAAAAAAATTTTCTAAAGCTTTTATCTGAATGAGATCTCGGAGTCTTTCACATAATTGCGGGCGAATTTCTCAAACTTCTCCACCAGCACATCGATTGGGATTTCGCCGTGAACCTAAAGTCAAATCAAAGATTTTGTCGGAACACGCTGATGCTTTTAAAGTCGGAAGACCCGGGTATTTCCTTCTTTCTTTCTTTCTTTCTTTCTTTCCTTCTTTCTTTCTTCCTTTCGTCTTCCTTCTTGTTTTTTCTTCTTTCTCTTGACAAGTTTAGGTACCGGATAGCTCAGTGATTGGAGCAATCGCCCGGAAAGCAAAAGGTCGGGGTTTAATCCCCTCCGGAAATCTAGCTTTTCTTGCCAATTCCTTCACTTCTTTTTTACTAAAGTCAAGTCAAAGATTTTTTTTTCGAAACACAACAAAGCAGAGCCGAGTCGACGTTTTTAAAAAGTTTGCAAGTCTAGATGGATATGTAAATATTTTCTCTAATAGACTCACCACATTATCTCTTCCCCTCACATTCACCGATCGATTCGCTATTTCCCGTTTCCCGATCACCAAGATGAAGTTGAAGGCGGCGAGTTGACCGTCTCGAATCTGTCGATTCATCAGTTCCGCGCAATTCTCGTCGAATTCTACCTCAAAGCCGGAGCCGTAGATCTAAAAATCCAGTTAAAAACAAAACAAAAGAATTGGAATTGAATGAACATGATGCTTGCATTATGAAAGATTATTTCCTATTAGTGGTGTTGACTCATTGCACAGTGCACAGAAAATAGCACAGAACTCCAACTGACCTTATCTTTCACCTCGCGTGCGTATTCTCTGAAAGATTCGTGGACACAGACGATCTTGGCCTGTCGCGGGCTTAACCAAAAAGGCCATTTCCCGGCGAAACTCTCGGTGATTATCCCAAAAAATCTCTCGAGAGAGCCGAGGATCGCTCGATGGATCATCACTGGCCGATGGCGTTCACCCTTCTCGCTGAAATTCATTTGAAAGTCACCGTATTATTTTAGGATCTGCTGTGGACTAAGGATCAGAATATGCACCATGTGCTAAATATTTACAGTACTGGACAATGAAATATCATATTTGAAAAAACACTTTCGCACTTTCGCGCGTCTATAACTCCCTTGTCTTTGAGTTTAAACTATTAGTGTTATACATTTTCTGAAAGCTCTTTTCAAGGGCTACACAATGGTAATATTAATATTTAGAAATACGGTAAAGACAAGGGAGTTACAGACGTGCGAAAGTGCGAAAGTGTTTTTTCAAATATGTTATTTCATTGTCCAGTAGTGTAGCTGCTATTTACATTCAAAATTACAAATCTACATCCAAAAGTAGTTCCAAAAGCCAGCCAAAAGTTAAGCCAAGAGCTTTTTGGTACACATGAAGTTTAGTATTATTGCAATTGTATTATTGCAATTGACTAATTTTAAATCAAGTACTGCATTTTCACACATTCACTTACTCAAAATAGTGTAAATCGAATCGGATGGGCATCTGAAAGTCGAGTTGCACCGTTGCGCATTGATGATTTCGCTTGAGAGCATCCTGAAAAGCCAAAAGATAACAAAAAAAGATAACCTTCTATAAAATTTTGAACTTTAGAACATTAAAACCCAAGCTTGGCTTATTTTTGGTTTATCCAACCTGAATCGTGATGTCGATCTTCGGCCCGTAAAACGCTCCATCTCCCGCGTTCACCTTCCAGGCTCTTCCGGATCCGTCGAGCACTTTCTTTAGGGCCTAAAAATGGCTAAAAAGGTTAAAAATTAAACGAAAACTTTAGGTTTTAAATTTCAAATTTTCAAATCTCATTATATTCTGAAAAACCCCACTGCTTCCGCTTCATCCCACACTTCGATTTCCCCCAAATAGTGCTCGGGCCGCGTGGAGAGATTCAAATTAAACGTGAAGCCGAAAACCTGAAATTGAAATTTGAGTTTAGAAATCAAAAAATTCAAAACCTTTTCATATGTAAATTCAAGGAAATCGAGGAAAGCCTTGATCTCCGAGCCGATCTGATCGTAACGACAGAAAATATGCGCATCGTCGATTTGAAAGCGGCGAACGCGCGTCAGCCCGGAAAGAGCTCCAGAGCTCTCGTTTCTGAAAAATTTCAAATATTGATTTCAAATATTATCAAAAATGTTAAGTACTAGCTGAGTAGATATTAAAAGAATATATTTTGAGCCTTTATTGAAGCCATTTACCTATGCAGTACTCCAAAATCGGCGAATCTCAGGGGCAACTCGTTGTACGAGCGGAGTCGATTTGCGAACATCAACGCGTGACCTGGGCAATTCATCGGTTTCAATCCAAAATGCTCCTTTTCAACATCGAAACTGAAACAAAAACGTTTGCAACAATTTCATGCACTGGTACAAATGCACAAGTGTGAAAAGTACTTACACAAACATGTCTTCTTTGTAATGTTGCCAGTGTCCCGACTGTTCCCACAACTTCGAATTGTAGATGTTTGGCGTGATCACCTAAAGTCAAACTATTATTAGTTTAAACTATTAATTATTAGTTTAAGCTTAAATGACACCTGGATATGCCTATTGCTTTTGAATAAATGGCTATTATCTTACATTTTATTTTTATTCAAAACAAGCTCTTAAATTTTGCTCGGGTTCGACCCCTTCCTTTTGATCTTTAACCGCTTGAATTCGCTCTATTTTACAAGAAGTATTATGATATCTTTCATTTCATTTATTCACTCTATAGATTGCTGCCAATTTTTTTGTTATTTTGTTTGTTATCAAAAGATGTAAGAAATTTAAGATTGAAGGGGTAAATCACCTCCATGAATCCCCTCAATCGATACTGCCGCCGGATGAATTCGATCAAGCGATTGTACATCAAAGCTCCTTTCGGGTACCTAAACATTTTTGAATATCAAAGGTGAATTTTTAAACGCTTAATGCTTTAAACTCACCAAAAAGCACAAGCTGGACTGAGTGGATGAAAGAAGAAAAGCTCTTGGTTGAGTCCAATCTTTCGATGATCTCTGGCAGCGGCTTCTTCCTGTAAACAAGTTATTATTAGTGTTCAATAGTTTGTCAAATCACGGCACTTCTAACAGCAAACCAGTTGGTTTGGCTTGTTCTTTACTATTAAACCAAGACTGGTGTTTAGCTGATCTTCTAAAGCTTAAAAAACTAACTCAAAGTTTACCGGTATATCTTTTTCTTGGCAATAATAAGTCAAATACTTCTAGTAGCAAGTCTACCGTCAATATTTTTAAAAAAAACCTGCGCTTTTTCCCATTCTTTCATCATTTCATCACTCGGCCACGAGATTCCGCTGATTCGTTGAAGCGATTCAGCTTCACAATCGCCACTCCAATACGATGAGGAAACGTTTAGGAGTTTGATTGCCTAAAATGGATAAAGATACAGAATTTATGCCTAAAATTCTCCCAAACCTTGATCTGACCAGCTTCTTTGACAATCGGTTTTTCACAAATCTCAAGGAACGATCCGAATCGGCAAACTTGAATCATTTGTTGATCCATTCTATCAAGAAGACGAAGCTGATAAAAAAATAAGAATGTCATTGTAAAAAAAATTTTTACCTTGAACTCATTTTCCTTGAAAACTTCCAAAAGTTCCTGTTTTGGTAGCACCAATTTTTCGAATGGTAGATTCTCCTGAAAAGATTTGTTTTGTTTCATTCTAAACTCTTCACCGACTTGTATGTATGATTCGACGATTTGTTGCAGTTTCTCTTGATCCTCTTGTGAAACCGTTTGCTCCTTAAAATGAAATTTTGTAGAATAAAAATTGCTTTTGATACCTTGAGGAAAATTTCATAGAAAAATCCATTGCTGTTTGATGAAGGAAAGCAAGGGAAACCTTTGGCGAAATGTTTCTCGAGGGCGGCTCCAAGAATGATAGCTGAGGAGTGCCAAAAGACCTAAAAACATGTACTTTTGTTCAAACTTTGACTCTAGCAGTCGTTCTAACGCGTGTCTTGGCTATCATAACGCGTAACTAATCATAGGTGAGTTATTAGGTACTTGCAAAAGAAGTTGCGAGTCATAAAAACCGTCATACAACAACTGTAAGAAGTAAAGATGCTCCGGGTTGACTAGCATTTTTAGAAACCCGAATATCTTCTCTTTTTAACGATATAAAAAGAATTTTACGAAATTTGCTTTTGGAGGACCAGTAGAATTTTCAAAAAAACCACCAAAAATGGCTTGGCGGAGCCGAATTTCAACTCAAGATTTCTCCACGGTTTTTCAATAAATTATTTGTCACTAATATGAAATGAAAGAATTTTACTAACTAAAACAAATAAGATACAAATTAGGTTTGTTCGTTGCGTACTCTTTGTTAAAACAATTGTTGAAAATAAGTTTGAATTCCGAATTTTAACCCTTTTTGAGAGTCACAACTCTTCAAAGGAACTTTTATAATGAAATAGTCCACTAAATCCACTAAATTTGTTTTAGTTTTCTATAAATAGCTTTTATGAAGTTTAGACTTTTGATCTGTCAATAATTTAGACTAGGGTTTTGTCAAAAATAATCCTTTGCTATAAGTTTAAGCCGCCGCCAAGTCATTTTTTGGTACCTTTTTGAAACGTCTATATTCCGCCCAGAAATGATCACTGCAGAATTCTTTTTATATCGTTAAAAAGAGAAGATATTGGGGTTTTTAAAGATACTAATCAACCCGGGGAGTGGGACAAATGCGACCTTTTTTTTGCGCACCTTTTTTTCCGCACTTGGCCCATTAGCGCACCTTTTTTCGCGTTTTAAAAAAGCTCTAAAAAGCTAATATGAACCAATTTCTATTCCAAAAGTTGTTTTTCTAGGTAATTTTAGGGCGTAGAATCGAAATTTTGGCATATCAGAGCTTGTGGAAGCGAACGGACGGAGTTATACAAAGAGAAAAAACAACAATTTTCTGTAATTTGACCTAGCCGTTTTGTCTTTCAAATTGGTTCGACACGCTCTGTTATGTCAAAATTTGAATTCGACACCCTCAAATTACCTAAAAAAACAACATTTGGAATAGAAATTGGTTCATATTAGCTTTTTAGAGCTTTTTTAAAACGCGAAAAAAGGTGTGCTAATGGGCTAAGTGCGGAAAAAAAGGTGCGCAAATGTCCAGGTGCGCAAAAAAAGGTCGCATTTGTCCACTCCCGATATTGGGGTTTTTAAAAATACTAATCAACCCGAATCATCTTTACTTACAGTTGTTGTATAATGGTTTTTATGATCCGTAGTTTCTTTTGCAAGTAACAAATAGGTGGTACGAGAAAAAAAAAACAATAAAATCAACTATAGAATTTAAGATGATTAAACGAAGATCTAACCGTGTCGTACAAAAGATCATAGTAACAGGCACACCCCTAAAAGTGCTAAAAGTGGCTTCCAAGTCTCCAAGTTTAGAAGCAATACAATACTTTTAAAAAACCCATACCTCTTTCCGACTCTCATCTTCCACATTCACTTCCGCGCTGTGTTCATTGATGGACAAAGCATCGATGGGTATCTAAATCTAAAAGATAAACTGAGAAAATATTTCAATCAATACCTTTAAAAGTCAAATGCATAGCGTTATCTAGCATTTAGAGGAAAAAAAAAGGTAGAAAAAGGAAAAATAAACAAGAGAGCTGACCTCGCTTTTGTCGTTTCTCTCTTCTTTCCTGCTCTCTCGTTGGTTCATGGTCAAAAATTATAGTAAAAATAAGCAAATAACTAAAAAAGTTGCTTTAAAAATTGGAATAACTATCAAAAGAAAAGAATTTTTAAAAAGTTGCGTTAAAAAAGATTTACCAAGTCACTCTAGAACTCTTTTTTTTAAACTTCGAGTCTGAATTGGGAGTAAAACTTTCAATAAAGTTGAAGAATTGAACTGAAAAATGTGAAAATCTCATTCTTGTTTGAATATTTCACAAATTTACTTTATATACTTTATCCGAATGAATGAGTGAGATTGTGAAATCGAGTGAGAATTGCGTCAGTCTTATTGCCTGTTTTTTCTTTTCTTTTCCCTTTGTTTCCCTTCGATCTTTGTCCTTTTTTTTTAGAATTAAGTACTTAGGAAAATTTTAGAACTTTATTCAAATTTTTTTGGTACAAGCACGAAATTTTTGACAAGTTACAAGTAGATTTCACTGAGAAGACAGATTGGGGGGTGGGACAAATGCGACCTTTTTTTTGCGGACCTGGACGCAACAAAAGCTGCGCAGTTTGTGCCTCTTAGCCCAAATTTTACGTGTCAGCGAGGTCTGATTTGTCAAAATTCTGAATCTACGCATACGATTCCCTTCTATGAAAACACTTTTGAAGCTCTACGACCTTTCCTAAGGCCTTTTCCAGCACAAAAAAGGTGCGCAAATGTCCAGGTGCGCAAAAAAAAGTCGCATTTGTCCCACTCTCCAGATTGGAGCGCATCGACCGAGCAGCTGAAATATTGGGTTTGAATATTGAATTTTCAAAAATTTGCATATATGCAGTTTTTAGTGCTTAGACACTTTTTAGAAGGGTTATTTAAAAAAATTACACATGAGGAAACCGTGAAATGAATACGGTGTGTTCTAAAATCTCATTTCAATTTTGATTACATCGTTTTTCTGCGTTTCTGCATGAAAAAAATCAATTTGTATACTAGATATAAAAATAGGTACATATGGGTTAACACCCTGCCACTCAAAAATTCGAATTTAACTTTATTGAGAACCTTATTTTAATAGATTTTGACGTTGATTTTGACGTTTTTGTCGATGAAAACGAGTGGCGTCTTTCCCTTTTGCAGTGACTTCACCGCAAAAAATCAATCCTTTCGAAAGAAAGGGTCGTCGCTCGGATTTTTCGTTTCAATATGTTTTTTTGATCTGGGGGTATCAGTTGATGATGATTTTGTGGATTTTGAGCAACTTCAACAGTAAAGATTGTTTGGTCAGACCACAAGGCATCCTCAATGGGAGTTATTTTGAGTGGCAGGGAGATAGCCCATATGTACCTAAAAATGTCATGACAAAAAGCAGAGGGAAAACAAATCTAGACTCTAATCCATTAAAGGAGACTTTCAGAATTAAAAGGTTATTCAATTCTATAGAAATTCAAAGCCAAAAGAGATCGTCTCATCTTGATTTTTATGGATTTGCATAATCAAGCTCTATTTAGAATCTAGATTGAAACTAGATTGAAACTTTGAGCAAAATTTGTTCTTTAGATCTGGGGGTATCAGTTGATGATGATTTTGTGGATTTTGAGCAACTTCAACAGTAAAGATTGTTTCGTCAGACCACAAGGCATCCTCAATGGGAGTTATTTTGAGTGGCAGGGAGATAGCCCATATGTACCTAAAAATGTCATGACAAAAAGCAGAGGAAAAACAAATTTGGACTCTAGTCTTTTAAAGAAGACTTTCAGAATTAACGGATTATTCGATTCTATAGAAATCCTATAGAAATTCAAAGCCAAAAGAGATCGTCTCATCTTGATTTTTATGGATTTGCATAATCAAGCTCTATTTAGAATCTAGATTGAAACTAGAGTGAAACTCTGAGTTAAACAATCTTTATCGATATTTACACACATAATATTGTTTTCGTTTACAAGTTGATCTCGGGAAGCAAACAGATTGGAGCACAACGGCCGAGGAGCTAAATTTCATGTTGTGGAAAAGTTGATTGTAGCAGCGTTAAAGCAGCGAATGGCAAAAGTCTTTCAATATTCCTTTAATTGATTCAATTTTCTTTACAAACGAACCCCATTTGGTCCACCTAAAAGCGGGAGATTTCCGAGGAGTCCATTTGGACCGAGAAGACCGGCCAAAAGGCCTGGATTCTTGGTGCCACAACATTTCTAAAAATATTCAGTTAAAAGCTGAATTGTCTACAGTCAGTTGAATGGAAATTGCTCAAGAATCTTATCACAGTCTGTTAAACTGTCTTTCAAGTTTCAAATTGCCTCACCATAGCTCCTTCACAGTCGAGAATACTTGCACAAAGGTTGATTCCCTGAATTGGAATCTTTATGGCAGAAACAGATCGACTAAAGTCTATGTTCAGTTGTTCAGTTGTTCTAAGTTTGCCTAACTTTCCCCCCAAAGAAACCCACATTGCTTCCACCGATCAATCCTCCTCCATTCTGATTTCCCATTCCTCCATTCCCTCCCAATCCTCCCAATCCTCCCAATCCTCCCAATCCTCCCAATCCACCGATTCCATTCGTCAATCCGCCCAATCCACCACCAATTCCTCCCAAACCATTCGTCAATCCACCAATTCCATTTCCGAGTCCACCAAGTCCATTTGTCAGGCCACCCAAACCTCCTCCAATTCCACCGATTCCACCAAGATTCTGCGAGAGAGTCACCTTTAATAATTTGATGAATCATTCCAAAATATCTCTTAAAAACTACAATAAACCCTATAGATTTACACTGAATACTAAAAACTTACAGCAATAAAACCAGTGAGTAAAAGAATGTTTCGAATAGAACACATATTGTTCGATTTGAGTAAGTTGCTCAGTTGATTGTTGTCATTCATCCAAATCTATTCTCTTTTATACTCATCACTTTTTTTTTGCTATTTGTATGTACTTAATCATGTTATCTCAAAGTGGACACATTTTTGAAGAGAAACTTTATCGAAAATACAGCTAAGCCAATAAAACAAGAAAATGATTCAAGAGTTCTCTCGATGTTTACAAGCTAATTTCTGCCCATGTTCACTTTTTAGACAAAAATCTCTGATGTCTCTGGTATTTACTATAATTGTGAGTCAAAATATTATTATGCAACTTGGCAAGATCACCAAAATCGTCTGGGAGTTTGGGAAACGATTGATGACATTTCATTTTCATTTCCAATGACATAAAATCAGCAAATTTGGTTGGAAAACTAAAATTTCACGAATAATATTAGGCTGTTCAGAAAATCTTTTCGTTTCTTTTTGTACTTCCGTTTAAAACTAGCAAATGCACCATTTGAATTACGGTTTGTTTCATTAGAAAGACCAATTATTAATCTGCAAAATAACATTAAAACGGGTTTAAAATGTCTTATGTCTGGATTTTTTTTTTGGAAGCGTGAAGTCGATTAGTAAAAAAAGGGCGACTCTTCATGCAGAAATGATGTAGACTTTCCCGCAAGCTACAATTTCCCTGCATTTGATTTTTGCTTTACAACTTTCTTCGAATAGATCGAATAGATTCGAATTTATCCTATTGACATGGAGGAAATCTCTTCAAACCTTGCTGCTGCTGGCAATGTCGAGAATTTGATCGAAATCTGTGTAATGGCAATGGTAGGATGTTTATTGGGCGAATCGTGGACGTTTCTTTGCAGCTAGGTTTCGCTGGAAGTACTATAAGTCTGTTGGCATTTGCGATTGTTTGGAGGAATTCGTTTTTGGCCGGCAAGTTTCGAGAGCTAAACTGCTGATTGGCTTTACAGGCTTGGTGAAACATTACATGGCACTCGATTTATCTAACTACGCTATCGCCAATCTTTGCCATTTGTTGTGGGGAGTGCCGTGCGCGATTTTGTGAGTTTCCGAAATAAAATTTTTGTTTATCTTTTAGCAATCTGAACGAATCTCTTTCATATCTCAATCAATTTTTTGGGAATCTCATTTTGTCAACTTCTACTATGCTGCTAACACCAAAAGTATGTATTTTCTTTTTTAAATAAAAACAAATCTCAGATCTTTCTTGGAATCAATCGTTTAATGGCCATCTCTTTCAATGGAATTTACTATAAAAGCTTTGAAAGAACAAGACTCATACAATATTTTTTTATAGTTATTCAACCATTTGGAACATTTTTATATATGTTTATTAGTGAGTCTTATATTGGGTTGGTGAATTGAAAACTGCGGGACTTTGAACTAAAATTTATTCAACATAAAACCATGAATTCATTCGAAATAATTTCCATTATTATTGACGACTTCTGCCCATTTTACAGGCAATTTGCGGATTCCTCTTTCGTAGTAGGATTTTGGTTTGTGTGTGAGGCAAGTGTGAGACTCAAAAATGGAGGACTGGAGATGTCCCTGGAGGACGTTTGAGCACTTTCTTCAAAAGAAACCCATTTTGGTGTCAATAGAAAAGTTGTAGAGAATCAAAAATGAGGCTTATAGCCAAATTTCCAAAAAGATACACTTAGTAGTTTCGCTTAAAAATACAAGTTTTGTGAAAATTCGTAAATTTGGCATTTCTTGAAAACCAGTTTTTGAATCGTTCTGAAAATTTGGATATAAGCTTGATTTTTGATTCTCTACAACTTTTCCATTGACACCAAAATGGGTTTCTTTTGAAGAAAGTGCTCAAACTGTGACTTATGACAATAGCCCGCAGTTTTTAATTCACCAACCCAATAGTTAAATGCAAAAGAAATTTGATTTAGCTAATTGCAATTGGATCTTTATCCCTAATGGAGTCAATACTTTTCTTTTTCAAGAAAAATGTGGTGCAGCGGTTATGTTCTGGCTTAATGTGAGTGTAAAGATGTTTCGATGAATAAATATTACCATTTTAACCTAAGAACCTCTCGAAAACACAATTTAGACAATCCCAAGCTACATCTTTCTTCCAATAAACGCCGTCTTGGATTTGACACTTTTTGTGATGATGTGGAGAAGGATGAGAAATTTTCGACGTGAAAATGCTAGCCAACAAACAAATAATGTGATCAGAAAAGAGTTCAAATTAGCTTTACAGGTGGTATAGGATTCTACTCAAAGAAATTCCCCTTTAGATAATCACAAACTTTACAATAAATCTTCTAACAGCAGCTTGCGTGGCCGGACTTCAGCTCTTTCTCGGCGATGCAATCTCGTTTTTTCTTGTCAGCACTGTCAGCTGGCAATTGAGCTCACTTTTATTGAGGTAAATCATAAATCGTTATCGTTTGCTATAAATTTATCAACATATTAGATAAAAGATGAACGAAAAATGCTTCATACATTCAAAATCTTAGTTTGTCCTATGTACTTTTTCTCCGGGATCGCCGTGGCTCCCCAAAAAAACGAAAAGTCTCCACAGTTTCGCAAAATTTACCAAAATCCCCAAAATTCATTGTTCATTTGTGATTTTGTGGTATAAAAAGCCTCAAAGACTAATTTTAGTTTTGAATTTTTTTGACACATCAAAACAGTTCAAAATTGATATCAGGATTGATATCGGTTTGGCTGAATGGATACGGGATCGTCGAGCCGAGAAAAAACGAGTGACACGCCGGATTATCTGGAATGAATCCAACATCAAAACTGTTTTGATGTTGGAAAACTGTTTTTGCAAGTTTTAGCTCACCAAGTACGGAGAGCCAACATTGTTTTAATGTTGGCTTTTAATCATTTAATCAAAGGTTTTAATCATTTAATCAAATCAAAGGCAAATTCTGTGAGAAAATTGTTGAATTTGTTGAATTTTCTCACCATCACTACATTCTTTTGATAAGTGCTCGATTTTTTTGGTTTTCAACTTTGCTTTTTCGATTAATTTATCGATTTTCTATTGAATGTCGCAACTTTATCTAAATCTCACAATTTTATCCCAAAAAGAATTGAACGGCATTGAGAATTTGATCGAAATCGTTGTGATGGGAACGGTGAGTTTCAATTTTGCAACTTGAAGCTATGAAAGACGAAAATCCCAGTGTAGAGTTGAAAATTCAATCCTAAAGCAAGCTTTTTTTTCAGCTTGGACTCGCTGGAGGAGTCATTGGCTTTTTGGGGATTTTGGCGGTGCGAAAGAGTCCGTTTGCAGGTTTAGAGCAAACGATTAGTGAGCACCGATGAGCTTTAGAATTGGTAAAACATTACATGTACGTTGATCTATTCAACTACATCATTGTCAACACTTGCCACTTGCTTTGGGGAGTACCTTGTGCTATTTTGTGAGTTTACTACGCACAGCTACAGCTTTTCAACAACGGAACTTTCAAAATCTTTTCAACTTTCTGGATTTCTGGATTTTTGGACTCAGTTTTATCCTTTGGACTGATTTGGCAAGAGTTAACAAAAAGGATAACAAAAGATAGAGATAATACTATTGGGTTGTCCAGTTATGAATGCGCGTTTTTTACTATTTTGTAAATTTCTCAAGATAGCGACAGATTTATATGAGTGTTATATATCATTCGAAAGCTGAAGATCCCCTCTACATTTTGATATAAAAAGTTTTTGAATTTGTTCAGCTTTTGGGCAAATTGACTGCACAAAGGGAGAAGTCGTTTTCGAAAAAAAAAATCCCATTCCAGCTTAGCTATTCCTCAAGTTTTATGGTATAAAATAACCGCCCAGAAAAGAAAAGAAAAGTAAAGATGCTCTGAAATTGTTATATTTAAAAAAAAGTTGTATTGATGTATCTATTGGTCAAACATCAAACGGTTAACTCAATTTGAGCGGAGCCAAAACTTGATCCAAAGGCACCCTTCCATTTTTTGGCCACCTCTTCTTCTGTGCAGTCAATTTGCCCAAAAGCTGAACAAATTCAAAAACTTTTTATATCAAAATGTAGAGGGGATCTTCAGCTTTCGGATGATATATAACACTCATATAAATCTGTCGCTATCTTGAGAAATTTACAAAATAGTAAAAAACGCGCATTCATAACTGGACAACCCAATAGAAGGATTACGATACTTTTGAAAAGTTTACACGTTTTAGAAAAAACGTAATTTGTAAAAGAAACATCACGTTCAGTGCCCTCAACACATCATTTCCATATCTCGATTACTTTTTCGCTAATCTTGCCTCATCTGCCTCCACATTGGTACTAACACCTAAAGTGAGTGTAATTCAAATTGATAAATGTGGAACTCTTAAAGCCACAAGATCAGAAGTGAACGCAGCTTTGAAAATGATTTAAAACTTTTTTACAACGATCAAATAGCTAAAACTTTAATAGAAGGCCCGGGGCTTCTATTTTTCAATACAAAAATTAGAAATCAAACATATTTTTACAAACCTTGCAATCCAATTGGATCGAGCCATATTCCAGCTTCATCACAAGTGTAGATCTCGTACTCTTTTTGCAAAGTTGCGAAAGAAAACTCACAAAGTTCACGATAATATCCTCGAACTCTTTTGGTTTTTATGCGATCAAAGTAAGAATCCGAAGTGAGAATCCATTTCTCTTGAGAAACTTTTGTAACCATCCTTCGCTCGCCGAAAAGTTGTTGTTGAATTCTCCTCTTCACTTGAACAATCGTTCTCCGAACATGGAGCGGCCGTTTCTTCTCTAGTTTCCTCATCCACCTCGTTCTCTGGCCAGACCTGATCGTAGAAGCCTCGTACTCTTTTCCGTACCCTTTTTGCAAAGTTGCGAAAGAAAACTCACAAAGTTCACGATAATATCCTCGAACTCTTTTGGCTTTTATGCGATCGAAGTAGGAATCCGAAATGAGAATTCATTTCTCTTGAGAAACTTCTGTAACCATCCTTCGGTCGCCGCAAAGCAGTTGTTAAATTCTTCGTCGTTCTCTTCACTTGAACAATCCTTCTCCGAACATTGAGCTATCGTTTTCTCTCTAGTTTCCTCA